ATTCAGAGACCCTGGGCAAACCTAACTGTGTGAGGCCACCTTACATCTTCATTTCTCAATTTCAATTTTAGATTACTATGCAGACTTACAGCCATTCATTTAGTAATTATTCAAAGTTTGGTACTGAAGAAAATGACTTATGACCAGTCCTCACGCTTACAACTGTTGCAGCATCTTCACGGTCATGTGATCAAAATTCAATTGCTAGGAAATCTGCAGGTATTTACAATGGTTGCAGTGTCCTCAGGTCATTGAATTGCCATGTCCGACCTTTTCAGCTGGCTTCTGACAAGCCAAGTCAATAGGGGGAATTGGATTTGCTTAATGACTGTGTGATTCACTTAATGGCCATGGCAAAAAAAAAAGTCATAAAATCAGGTGTATCTCATTTAATGACCACCTTGCTTAGCTACAAAATTTCCAATCCCAATTAAGATTGCAAGTTCAGGACTAACTGTAATTCCAATGAAGGCTGTTCTACAAGCTTCCGTTGCTCCAAGTTGTCACTTCTCCATAAATAATGTGTAAGGATAGAGTCATGTTACATTCAGTCTCTACAATCTGCTAGCTGCCAGTTACTACTGATACTTCAAAGAGATTACTTGACGCCCAAATATTTGCTGGAAAATTATTTCATGTATGCAGTAGCCAGGATTATAAACCTTGCTTGCACAACCATTGATACCTCCAGCATGGTAGTTAATTTCTGCTTGAGTATTTGGGTTATGATGTTTTTCCTACAGAATTCCCTAATGTTTGCTTTTCACTTAGATGTTGGAATGACATACTGTTGTACAGTATTGTTTCTAATACTCTGCATTGGATTCTCATTCTACAAACTGCTTCATTACTTTTATAGAAAGGGTTGTATATATGCTCAGTTAATAATAATAATAGAAATAAAAATGCAGCCCAAGGCACTACAGCATGGATCATAGTTTTGATATTTTAAGCATATTACATTGCAGTACTAAAAAAGAAATCTTTCAAAAAGTTGCTCTTGTTGGTAGCGGTCTTGTGAACAGCCTCCTGCTTGCTGACCGATGAATCCAGGCCAATCATTTGTATAAATCTAAAAGACTTTTTTTTTTAAATAAAAAAAATCAACTCATGGACGTACCAAATGTATCTACACTGATACATATTTACAACAAAGTTCTTGTAAAATGTTTCCTTAGTTTGTTGAACTCTATCTATTTGGAAGGCTAAAGTAGGTAGATCAAGGCAGGGCATAAACTCTGATTTCCATAAGCCTCTACAGGCTAAAATCATAAATAAAAGTTTAATTTAAACTTACTTTCTGTGTATCTAACTGTTGGCAGGCTTTCTGACTTTTCTCGAGGTCCCGTTTTACTTGCAGTTGCTCCTGCTTGGTTTTCAATCTCATTCTTAATAAAACAATGACAAAACCACAATCAGTAAAGTAATTTTTATAAGAACATTTTTCCTGTTCTAGATATTAATAAACTTAATGTATGAACTAAAACAGAGTAGCTTCATCCCTAATATTGTTTTTTAAGACAGGAAAGAATCTGAGATCCTCCAGGAATAGCTGGAAGTCCCAGTATCTTTCCACAATGATCATGTTGGGTCATGCTGAGTGCTGAATTAGGTATACAGCAATCAGCGTTAATTCTGTAAAATTCTGGATGTTATTCAGCTTTATCTCATAGTGCCAGGATTTATACCAAGGACCTTCAATACACAAAATACATGCTGTCCAGGTTAAATACAGCTCTTGCCTAATTATGGCATTAGCAATTAAGAGAAACTGTGAGAGGAATAACATAAATGGAGAATATTACTTGAAGAGCTCAGTTGTCTGCTTTTCCACTTGTTTTTTCACATGCATTTTTTTCCTGTAGTTTTCCAGCTTTTCCTCAGCTTTTCGTTTTTGTAATTCTTCATGGCCAAGCCCACTTCTTCCTGTCCCAAATACAAGCAGTTGTTTGACGGATTGAGCAATGCCATGTTTAAATGAAAGAAAAAAGGTCAGATATTTCACAAACCTGTGGTAATATTCAGAGGAATGGGCTCAACTATCCCCTTTCCTGCAGAAGGAAAAAAATGTATTTGCTATTAGTAAAATAGCAGAATAACAGTAAAATAACAAAATAGCATCATTGTACTTGCTATCTTTTATCTTTACCTTTTATCTTTTTGATTTTATTGTAATATCTTTCTTGGATTGCTGTAAGCTGCATAGTTATTGAGAACTGGGTGGTATACAAATTTAAAATATTAATAACAATAGTATTTACTATATTCCCTCCTATATGTATATTTTTTAATTTCTTAGATTTATACTCTGTTTTGTCTTCTATGAACTCAACAATCTGTTTAATTGAAGCAGGTTAGCCTGCAAGACCATACTGGTTCTCTGGTCTTAAGGAACTCAGAAAGACACTCCATTCTTTTGTAATCTTCCCAAGTCAGTCACTTCATGAATTTTGTTTTTTTCTCCAATGTATCAACAGACAATGGCAGAGATTAGAAGTTGGCTTAGAATTGGCAAGAACTCAAAGCTCAAATCCTAGACAAAAAGTTAATTAAGCAACTTCTGGAGTAGTCTTAATTTATTTCATTGAGTTGTTGAGAAAGTAAAATTGAGAGCAAAGAAAGAAAACAAATGTGTTATGTTGAGGAATTGCAGAATATAAATGTAACAAGTAAATTGCTAGATGTCTCTGGCTCCCTTTTCCATTATTGTGTCAGCTGCAGATTTTGTACCAGCACAACTATTTATGGGGCATTAAAACCTGATTCCTTAGCATAGTCACAGTTCAAAAACTGGATGTGGAAAAACTCACCACTTTTGCCAAGAGGCTGGCCACTTTTGTACCCCATCTTCTGAAGCATAGCAAAACCTTTATTTTCATTCCCCAAAGCAACATTTAGAAACATTTCACGTTGCTCTTTTTCTTGTTCTTTGATGCTCTTTTGCCTACTTTTCTGGTTAGCTTCTTTTACTTTTTCCTCTTTTTTAAAAGTTTCCTTCACACGTCTCAACATCGGCATTCCTGGCCTGATGTCCTGACTGAATAAAACAAAAATTTTACAAGTTACCTAAATACAAGATACTGTCAAAAAATCATTATCCTGCTTTAAGTATGTTTATAGTTCTTTAAAAAAAATTTGGAGGTTACGGTTAGGATTACATATGGTAGGAGACCTTAGAAGAAGACTAAGTACAATCCCCTGCCCAAGGCAGGAATACTTATTCAATTCTGGACAAATAGTTGTCCAGTCTTTTCTTAAAAACTTCCAGCAACAAACCACACACAACTCCAGGATGCAAGCTGTTCCATTGACAAATTGTTCTCACTGTTAAGAAATTTGTCCTTAGTTCCAGATTAGGTCTCCTTCTGATAAGCTTCCATCCACTGATATATCAATCCCTTCTTTCTGATGACAGCTCTTCAAATATTGGAAGATAGCTATTATGTCACCCCTAAACCTTCTCTTCATTAGGCTACTAATAAAGAGTACCCTTACTTAGTACCTTAGCCGTTCCGCATTGGACATCTATAACCCATTTCAAGAGAAAAAAAAAAGCTGAAGTATTCAGCTAATGGTTGGAGACTTCAAAATGGAGTATACAGTTCATACAGTGATATAGCAGCTTCCCTGGATTTACAAATGTAACCTATTTTGTTTTGGGAAATTTCTAATTTTTGTAGATATTCATGTTCTTTAGAACTGCATACCAATGATTTAGAAACAGGGGTCTTCAAACTGGACAGCTTTAAGACTTGTGGACTTCAACTCCCAGATTTCCTTCTCAGTCATGTTAGCTCAGGAATTCTGAGAGTTGAAGTCCACAAGTTTTAAACTTGCCAAGTTAGTAAGAAATGGACATTACATGTCTTATAGCTGGAAAAAGCATAATTCTACAAAGACGGAAGGACATCTCTTCCTTCTCAATTTTATAGTGATCCAAGTTTAATTCTTGTCATAACTGGATAAGAGTTCTATTGTTAGGAATATTCTAAATTTGTTACCCTAATATTTATCTATAATTTTAATGTTCTATTTTGTTTTTGCCTCAATGTATAAATATATTCTGTATAATAAATTAACATACTTTAAAGATTATTTAGCATATATGCATGATAACTAATGAATTATATTGATAGTGATTAAAGTCTTACTGATTTTTTCTTCTTCCATTTTCTTTTGGAAAATAAAACATATATATGCTGTAGAAGCTTATTTGTTCACCTGTATTTTAGTGCTAATTTAACTCTGTAAATTACATTCCTCAAAGCTGTTCTATGTGGGCAGAATTTTAAAGCAAAATGTGTATTTGTAAAATTGTACCCAAATTTTTAATTGGGTATTGGATATCATAAATCATTTAAGCTTCAGCATCCTTACTAGGCAAAGGCAAGCAGGATATACTTGAAAAACACCCACTTACTTAATAAAGGAATCAGACATATAATCCTCTTCTACGTCATCCATGATTCATATCAATCTTCCACCTCCAACCTTGCTACCTATAAATACAGTTCATGATTAATTTAAAATGCACCCCCAAACACTTTTTTTTTCTAGAGGAAAATTCCATACTTATTAGATGCAACGTAAACAAACCCTGAATTTGATCTTTGTGTATGATTGCCCCCCAACACCCTGATTTCTTAGCTAGCCAGAGTATCAGCATCAGCACAGAAGAAAGCCAAAGCAGTTGGTCTTTTGCTATGTAAACTCCAAATCCAGGTCATTCTCATTAGTGGAAACTCACTGGGTGAGGCTATTTTATTTAATTCAACTCATCTAGATTGCTATTGAATGACAGATGTGATCCAGGACTGATCTAACCATCACGCAACCCCGGGCAACAATACTCAACATTTAGTGCTATTCCTTACGGACAACAAAAACGCAGCACGCCGAAATCCTTCATTCCCCAATTCCTAAACCGCCGCACCGTTGCGCCTGCGCTTCGGTGGCGGCCTCACTTCCTGGGTCTCGAGAGCGCATGCGCAGGAGCCGGCGCTGCTTCAGCTGGTCGCGGAGAAGGGCCGGACCGGAGGCGTAAGCCGCGGCGACCTTCGGGGCTCCGCTGTGTCGCTGAGGTGGCCGCCGCTGCCTGAGGTGGGAACTATCAGTCGGGAAAGGCTGGGCAGGGAGACGCGGGGCTTGCACTCGGTGGGGAAGAGCTCGGTGGGGAAAGGGGGTGGGAGAGCTGTAAAGACCGCAAGAAGGAGCGCAGGACGGTGGCAGCCTTTCCGGGTGGGAGCCGCTGTACCTCGGGTTCCCCATTGAGGCACCGCCCGCCGGGGTGGCATCCGTCGTCCTTGTGGCTGGTTTTTCCCTGGGTGGATGGATGGATGGATGGCAGGCGGGTGTGACAGTGGCCCGGGAAGCTCGGACCTGCGCTGTCCAATTGACAGCGGCCTCTTAAAGGTCCCTTTCCAATAATTACACTTTGGACGGTCGTCACGGGACAGTCTCCGATCTTGGGTTGCAAAACTCCGGAGACTGCTAGGTGGCAGAAAAGAGGCGCAGTTTTCTTGTGTTTCTCCTTAACCTGCCCTTCAGGTTTGGGCAGTACAGAGCTGGTGACCTTAGGATGCAAAGGATATACAGATAGATCTCGACTTACAACAGTTGGTTTAGTGACCATTCGAAGTTACAGTGGCACTGAAAAAAAAGTGACTTATGATCATTTTTCATACTTACGACCATTGCAGCATCCCCATGGTCATGTGATTTACTTTTGGATGCTTGACAGCTGGTTCATATCGATGACAAATTGCAGTGTCCTGGGGTTCTGTGATCTTCTGACAACAGAAGATTGTCACCTTCTGACAAAGTCAATGGGGAATCCAGATTGACTTAACAACGGCATTATTACCGTAATTTAACAACTGCAGTGACATACTTAACATATGAGGCAAGAAAAGTCGCAAAATGGAGCAAAACTCAACAAATTTCTCACTTAGCAACATAAATGTTGGGCTCAATTGTGGTCATAAGTCAAGCAGTACTTGTATTACATAGTTGTGTCCAGGGTGGGACCCCGTTACAATAAGCCATGTTTGCATAATATGCTTACCTCTCTATACATTAGAGCTGCTTTGTTATTATAGATTTGCTTTGACTGCCCTTCCATTTTATGTAAGTGATTCTGGGTTGTTCATAATGGGTAAACACAAACCAATAAAAATAAGGTAAAAGCTGATATACAAATGTATAAAAACTATTCATAATCTACTCAATCCACATTTTTTTCTGGTGATGCATGATGTACTGAACCATAAACTATTATGTGGAATTGTATTTGGCTGCTTGGTGTTTCAGTATGTCATATCAGCCCAGCTACTGTGTGGGGTAAAAGGACTCCAGTATGGAACTATTTTACACATCCAACATCAAACCGGGGTTTTAACTGGCTTAATGAGATGTATTGATTGAACACAATAATTCAGTTACCATGTATCAGTCACATTGTTAAGGTTGTTCATTCACTCTCTTTGATGGAGATTTTAAAAAACCTGTTCCTTGTAGCAGATATGTAGGTGGCTGAATTAATAAATAAAAGACCTTCTAGAAAAATAATAGATTAACCAGTTTAAATGCATGTTAAGACTGTTTTAGGTGGGATATTTTAAATCTGTTGTTTTTCTATTTATTTGTATAACAGGAAACAAGGGTAGTTACTGTACAAAAAGAATTTCACCAGCTATGGAACTTGCTCATAGTTTGTTATTAAATGAAGAGGCTTTGGCTCAGATCACTGAAGCAAAACGGCCAGTTTTTATCTTTGAGTGGCTACGGTTTCTTGAGAAGGTGCTTGTAGCTGCTAACAAGGTATAATTTTATTTTTTATTATTAAATTTATTTGCTACCCATCTCATGGTTTGACTTGATCTTTGATAATATATTTCTTTCAGCCCTTATTTTTGTATTAATGACTCTTCTGTAATATGGCCAAAGTGACATGCCTGAAATATTTTGAACTGCCTAAATATTTGATTCTATCCTACAAAATAATTGGGCTGTTTTGTTGTTTATGATTTTAATAATGCATATTTATACAGAAACTCCATTTTCTGTTCTGAGATTATGTTATGGGAGTATTGTATGTATGTATGTATGTATGTATGTATATATGTATGTATAGGCAAGGTTGCCTCAGCCTTCCATTCTTCTGAGATCAGTAAAATAACCCAGATTGTTGGGGCAATATGCTGACTCTGTAAAACTTTAAGTCTTATTAAGTCTAAGTGCTTTGCTATTGCTATTTTTGGTCTGTGATCTTTTTTTTTAAAAAAAAGCTGTGATTGACACAAAGTTTTTAACCTGATAATTCAAGTTTTTAGTTTAAATTAAACCATTAATTTGCAATGAAAGGCTCGTTAAACTATGCATTATAATTTCCTTTCCAAGTGAATGGGATCAGTATTTTGAAAAATGCCAAAGGCATTTATGAAAATAAACTTGAGAATGAAGCAAGTATTTTTAGCTTTATTTAATGAATCCTCTAGTCTAAGTACATGGGCATTGATTTTATGTTCATATTCAGACATAAAAAAAATAAACTTCCAGAAAACATCTGAATCAAATGTTGCTATGATATAACAAAGTTATAATGAACTTCATTAATTTCATATAAATACTGAACAAGTTTTGCATTTGTTTCATTAACAGACAGATGTAAAAGAAAAACAAAAAAAGCTTGTTGAACAGCTGACAGGTCTTATCAGCAGTTCTCCTGGACCACCAACAAGGAAATTACTTGCTAAAAATCTTGCTGCTCTATACAGCATTGGAGATACTTTTACTGTCTTCCAAACGCTTGACAAATGTAATGATATCATCAGGAGTAAAGATGATACTTCTGCCTATTTACCGACCAAACTGTAAGTAAATGTCACCTACCAGAAAAATTCCACAATCTCAGAAATATATTAGGGAATATATCCAGTATGTAAAGTCATATGAGACTATTTCATTTGATTATTTTACATATAAAATGCTTGAAATATGCCAAATTGCTGGTAGACGCATTTTATTTGAAGAAAAAATTATTTGAAACCACAAGGTCAAAGTTAGGAAACTTTACATCTGTTACCTCACTACTAATCTGTTCATCTATAAAATCATTGCAGTATCCAGATTATACCTTTGGATTATTTGAATTTTAAAGTTTGTGCATCTTTGCTTGAAAACATATTGGCTTGATGCTCCCATTTAAAAGACTGAAACTTTTGAGCTGAGTTTGACTGCTAGTGATTAAATGGACACTTTAAACAACAGTGGAGAAATGGTTTGCTATCATCTTCTTCCACATTATTTTTTTATTTCAAAGTTTATTCTGAAGACTTGGGATTTTCAATTGGTCTCCCTTCCATGGTTTCACCTTAGCCCTTTTTTTTGACAGAATCTATTAGTGTAAAATAATCAGAAATTATCTGATCAAAATTATCTTGATTTTTGTAGTACTGCAGTGGCATGTGTTGGAGCATTTTATGAGAAAATGGGAAGGATGCTGGGCAGTTCTTTTCCTGAAACCGTTAACAATCTCTTAAAATCTTTGAAAAGTGCTGAAGTAAGTAAAAGAAATGTTCACAGAATATTTGCATTTTTGCACTGTATTCATTTAATTAATTAAGAGTCTGGTAATTCTATTGTACAACAAAAAGTAATTTTGGACCATCTAGATCAGTGATGGTTAACCTTTTCAGCACCAAGTGCTGAAACATGTGTGCACACCAGAAACCAGAAGAGCAGCTCCTTGGCATGCGCATGCACACCAGCCATCTGGTTTTCCAGTTTCTAATGTGCATGCGTGCACGCTGGCCAGCGTGCATGCATGGTGTGGGGAGCTGCTGTCTGGTTTCTGGTGCTCCTACGCACGCAAAGACTAGCTGGGAGCTGCTCTTTAGTTTCCGGTGCTCCCGTGTGCGTGAAGACCAGCTAGGTGGCATGTGTGTGCTGGAACCCAGAAGAGCAATGGGCAACAGCTGGCATGCCCAGAGAGATGTCTCTGTATGCCACTTCCAGCACATGTGCTATAGGTTCGCCATTACGGATGTAGATAGAAACAAAATTCTATGTCATAGATTTTTGTGGGCTTCAGTGGGTTATGTTCATGAAAGCTTGTGGCATAATAAATTTACCTGATGTTAAGATGTCACCAAAATCTTTGTACTTCTCAAGGTTGTGGTGAGCTAAAAATAGAGATGTGACTTGTAATTAACATAGTTACTGCTTGAAATAAATGTTACATTAAATCTTAGTGCTTTTTTTGTATTTCCACATACAACTAATACATTTTCATGTAAAGCTAATTCACATTAATAAAAGGCAACCAGCTAAGCCTATGATGAGCTGAAGCACTGTTTGGCTAGATACATCCATACAATGTACTATACAAAATAATTTATACACTACAACTACAGGACAGGAGTGGTTCTCATAAATGTTGGAGAAGTCATGTTTCCATCAGTTCTTAAACTTGTGAGGTGAATAGAGATTGCCTCTATCAATGACCTCTTATGATTTCCTAGTTTAATTTTGAAAAGAAAATTAGAAGCATTTTTTTTTCTTTTTTTAAGAAATGGCTGAAGGGAACGATAATCTTTTTCAATAAGCGTGAAATGTGTCAAGTATTTGTGAAATAAAATACTACAATATATGTTTAAAAAAGAATGAATGTTGATTTATATGAGTTCCATAAATTGTGATCTTGGAACAGAATTTTCCAGCATCATATTTAGGAATAAGGATTGTGATCTTTATACTATATTAAAAGGTAATGTTTATTATTATGATAAGTTCCATTTTTACATAGAGATTCAAGAATATTTTTTTCATTACAACATATACTGTTTTTAAATAAATGAGAAGCATGGTTTTGATAAAAATACAATATATTTATGTCTTCTGGTGATTTGCAGTCACAGGGACGGAGTGAAATATTAATGAGTTTACAAAAAGTCTTAAGTGGCTTGGGTGGTGCAGCAGCTTCTTGCCACCGAGATATTTATAAGAATGCCCGGTCTCTCCTGACAGACAGAGCTATGGCTGTGCGCTGTGCAGTAGCAAAGGTAAGCTTGCTTAAATGTTTAAATGGAAGAAACATTACTGCATCATTCATAGCATTTTCTAGGTACCTAGGATTCTAAGTATGCTTTCTGCATCGTACAGCTTGTTGTAGAAATAGGCACTGCCCCTATAATCATATAACTTTTTTCTCCTACAACCACTGTTATAGATTCTTCTGGAAAAATACTGTGATATGCTTGCAGTTTAGTTTGTTATCACTTTATGAAGGTGTGTAGCTTGCTGCAGTGCAATATTCACATTCACAGTCTTATTTCTGACATTAGCTGTTAAAGTTGAGGTGAAAATCAAATATCCCAAAGGTGCTTTTTCAAAAGGCAACTGGACTTTCTTGTTTTCCTTTGAAGACATTTTGCTTCTCATTCAAGAAGCTTCTTCAGCAGTTACAATTTGTTTTTAAAAGGAAAAAGGATAGTAATTGTGATGGCTGAATTCAAAGAATGAATGGACAAAATTTCAAAAAGTATTAACAGTTTTGGGATTTTTTTTCTTGGCAGTGTCTACTAGAACTGCAAAATGAAGCTGTGTTTATGTGGACAACAGAATTAGAAAATGTAGCAACTCTATGCTTTAAGGCACTGGAGAACTCAAATTATGGTGTACGAGTTGCAGTATCCAAACTTCTGGGGACAGTTATGGCTACAGCACTGATACCAAAGCAAGCAGCAGGTATAATCCATTGAGTTATTCATATTATTATTTTGTTTTTCAGCAATAGACACATGGATAAACTTAAAGTGTTTACTATTAACTGTAAACAATGATAAAAACCATTTATTTTTACAGTTAATTTTGTGAAAATTTTGTATTAATTTCATGTCTTTAAAGTCATTGGTATCTTTAACATGACATAGTACTTACCAGAATCTCAAAAATACAATGAGAACTGATTGAAAATATTCCATTGAATAACATTTTCTTTTTATTTGTTTAAGTGATGCGCCAGAATGTGAAGAAAGCAACGTTAGAAGAGGTTTTAGAACTCATGGCCACTGGTTTTTTGCGAGGAGGATCTGGGTTCTTAAAAAGTGGTGGAGAGATGTTAAAAGTAGGAGGATCTGTTAATCGAGAAGTGCGAGTTGGGGTTACGCAGGTAGGTTTATTTTAAAATGCTATAAAGTATTTTCACAATCAGGGAAACAAAAAAAAACCCCACAGCTTCATAGAACTAGCTAGAAGCTAGTTCTGTACATACTAATGAACACATAATGATTGCTTTTCATTATTTTTCAATGATATTCTTGCAGTTCCAGCCAAATAAATATATAATGAGATTCAAAGAAGCGTGCAGGTATGCCCAGTGGCCATTTCGCTGTTTTTTGAAAAGTCAAGGAATAGAATTCTTTTGAAATGCAGAGCTTTTTCAACAGCAATAACAAGTGGCAGTGAATAAAACTTATTTACCTACTTGTTTATGCTAAAGAATAGAAATACTACATTGACTGCTGCAGACATAGGCAAGAATAACCTCATCCTTCAGGTCCTAATTATAACTTGCTCTACAAGGGAGTAGATTAAATTCGGTAGATAAGTGAAGATGCTTGTTAAATTCCTAAGAGAAAAGCCTTTGCTCAAACTCTTGACAGTCCTCTTCAAGAAATTTGTAGCATTTGGGGGGTTTCGAACAACCTTGAGGCCATATATAATGAGATTGTCATATAGCCTCACAATATTATCATGATATTAAAAAGCTATAAGTATGATGAGAACTAGTTATAGCGATTGTAACTAGTTTTCATTATAGATGGGGTGTTACTGAGTTTGATAAACCTATGTGATTGTAATATTAGAGGGCCTGATCTGGTATTTTTACTTCAGAAACAAAACATTATATAATTTTAAGGGGTGGGATAGGGGATATTGGAGAATTGAAGGTAAAAGGTATAAATAGAATTTTAAATACAGAATACAAATCCCCTATACCTCAAGTAACTTAATCATTTCAAATTTTTCAGGCCTATGTTGTCTTTGTCACAACCCTAGGAGGTCAGTGGCTAGAACGCAATTTTGCAACTTTCCTGTCACACGTGCTGGATTTGGTTTCTCATCCTCGTGCAACTCAAACTCATGTAGAAGCTGTCTACTCTCGGAGATGTGTCTCTTTTATCCTCAGAGCGACAGTAGGAAGTTTATTGGGAGAGAAAGCACAGATTGCTGCTGCTAAAGATATTTGTCAGGCTATCGATAAACAGATGAAGGCAGTCGGTAAGAGAAAAAAAATTAGTGCGTGCATGTATTGTTTTTATTATTGCTATCCAATCTTTTTAAGTCTAGGATAAGGTGGTTTTCACATTTATTGATCTACGTCTGTATGACACTGGCTTATGTGGTCATGATATAAATGAGATCTTTTGCAGCAATTGTGTGCCTGAAGAATAGAGTGTGAAAATAAAATGCAGTACAGGTAGTCCTCGATTTATGACCAGTTATGGGGAATCTTCCAAAAGCTACTTATGACTCAGTCCCAAAGTCAAGGCCATTACAGCATCCCCATGATTGTTCACCCTTACAAATGAGTGCAGGGACGTTGTAGCGCCCCACTGCCTATGTCTTCCCCATTCCACACCACTGTGCTCCACATCCTGCTTCTCACCCTGCATCATCCATCTCATACATATGTTTTGAAGATCTCTGGAACCTGGGTTCGGGAAGGAGGGTAGGCCTCACTATTACTGGGCTTCTTCCTCATGCACTCCGAAATACTTTTTGGGAACCTAGTCTGAAGCAGTATGTTTTAAATGTAACAGAATGCTGGGTTGCTTACCATTTTTCAATTTACTTTGACAGAAACAGTTGTGAATGATGCTAATATTGAAAACAAATCAGGAGCAGCAGAAGTTGCCGCAAGTCAACATGTAATGGTTTGTGCTCTTCAGGAGCTAGGAAGTTTAGTTCAAAGCCTGAATGCCACTGCATCACCCCTTATACAGGAACCTTCTATAGGTAAATCGTTTAAGACTGCCATGCTAGGCACACTAAGAATAATTGTGAAGTTATTTATTTATTTTTACCATTTAATTACGTATGTAATGCAATACTGATATAAAATATAAACCCAAAGTACCAGTGAAAATGAGATGTTTCCTCATCAGATGGCTTCTCTAGTTTTCATCCCAGTGAATAGGGATGCACCAATATACTTTTGTTTGTTTTGTTTACTTAAAGTTCAGTTTCCTACCTTTCTAATATATCAGGGCAGTTAATAATGTGAAAGTGATATAATAGATACAGATTTAAGAATGTAATATGCAATCAAAACAATAAAATACTAAAATGTTGATTTTATTGATGCTATTTGTTTTATTTTTCAGCATAATCAAAAAGATGAAGCATAAAAAAATAAAGCATAGCGATAAAAATATAAAGCATAATAGAGACTTGGGATTTGGTGTGATTTTGAGGTCTTTTTTTTACCTTCAGTTATTTAATTGGGTTTTTAAAAAAGTATTATATTTTCTATTTTCAGCTTTGTTCAATGTCCAGAGTTGCTGTGGTGGGAATGGTACCCATAAAAATCTAGATAATGTATAGTGCATATGTTGATCAGAAATCTGTGTGATTTCTTAAAATTGTTTCCTACAGAAAAAGACAAATTAAGATGCTAGTGAACTGCAAGGAAGATAAAGCCTATTTTCTAGAATAGACAAAAGCCTTTGAATCTGAACTTGGCATCTAAAGAGTGCTTTTGTGTTAGGAATGCTTTTTGATGTTTTCAAGACTTAAACATCAAAAATAAATAGCTTTCTATCTTTTGTTACTCAATTTGAAAAATTTACATCATTTCAATTCTTTCTTTGACCAAATCTACTACAAATAAATGCTTTGGTAGTTTCCTCAAAATATTTCCTTTTCTGGTTTGTTTTCAGGATTGCTTGAGACTGTTACTTCGGTTCTTCTCCATCCCAGTATGGCTGCTCGACTTGCTGCTGCGTGGTGTTTGCGTTGTGTGGCTGTTGCTTTGCCTTTCCAGTTGACTCCGTTATTGGACCGGTGTGCAGAAAGGCTTAACAACCTGAAGACTTCCCCAGAAGCTGTTAGTGGGTACAGTTTTGCAATGGCTGCTTTGTTAGGTGGAGTTCATCAATGTTCTCTAGGCATCCCTCATGCCAAAGGAAAGGTGAGATTATTAATTACTTGCATTTCTGGAATTGTTTTCTTTATGCTGGGATAGAGAAGGATGCTGTTACAAAATAACATGAATTGATTTAATGGTATATTCCAGTGATGGCGAATGTTTTCATCCTCGCGTGCCAAAAATGCACGCGTGCCATCAACCATAAGGCAATGCATGCGGGGGGGGCATGCTCCCTGCGTATGTGTGCACGACCCCCACATACACCACGCATTTCTGCACATGCGTGAGCATCTGTGTGTGTCCCGTTCCCCGTACATGCGCTGCAGCTACCCAACGATTACCTGGCAGGCTAGCGGCGCGCGCACCTGTGCAGTGAACCTGCTCTGGGGCAACGGTTTACAAGCCAGCGGAGATGGCTCTGCATGCCACTTCTAGCACTTCTAGCATAGGTTCGCCATCACAGGTATATTCCAAAGAAGCTGCATTCAAAGATTTGCATTGCTGAATGTTAGTTTCCCAGTTATATTCAAGGTTAAAGTCTGAAAAGCTCAAGCTATAGCTATCAACGAACATGTACCTCTCTGTGAACCTGAGATACATTAGCCATGCCAAAAAGGAAATACCTTTTTGTAAACACTGTTATGCTCCAAAGCTAGGAAGCATCAGTTTTGAAATTATGATTGCTCCTTCCTATTTATAAGATACTAAAATGCTTCTTAAATTGGTATAGGTATTTTATACTCTCATGCTCATTTTTATTACATAATAGTGCTTATTCCTGGGTAAATATGTTTATCGTCACAACAATGGAAGCAAATTTTATTTTATGTTGGAGCACTTCCTCCTTTTTGCTCTTCTTTTCAAGGTGTTTCTCGGCACATTCCATATCTTGGTTTGTGTTCTTTAGTAATCTTTTTGTTTGCCTATCCCGAGTCTCAATCAACCCCTACTGAGTTTTTCAACCCCTTCTTTTGTTTGACTTGTTCATTTTACTGTTTAAAGGAAAAAATAATTTGAACTGAAATGAACATAATATTAATATTAAGTAAAGTTTTTATTTTCTATCCTGTGTTAATGTTCAGCTATGAATTTTATTAAGATGGTTTCTAACTCACTTCTAAGTTAATTTTCCCTTTATTTTAGATGGTTGTTAGCATTGCTGAGGATCTCTTGCGGACTGCGGCACAAAATAGCAGGCTGTCCTTACAGCGAACCCAGGCTGGGTGGCTTTTGCTGGGTGCTCTAATGACTTTAGGTGTGTATACACACATCCCTTTATTTTAGCAGTCTGACTTGAATTTAGCAGCAAGATTGTGGCTACCTCCCTAATACTAGACCTTATCATGTTCTGCTTTTGCTACCAAAATGCAGATTATTTTGAAAGTGCAATTGCCTTGCTAGAATACTTTTGTTATGAAGTAAAACTCTACGTAGAAATCTACTCTGATCAGTAGTTAGGAATATTAAATTGTAATTCAGATTGAATGGTAACAGAATATTAAAGTTAGCTTTAGTTGATTTGAATCTTTTAATGTTATTAATATGTACGTATATTTATAAAAGTACAGATTTCTTAACGTTACTCTTAACGTTAATCAGTTATAATGGTAGTAAGATTCCTAACCTTACTCTGCAAGTTATTTATTTTAATGAATAATTGTATTTTAATTAAAAATTTGTCAAAGTGGCATATAAAATACAAAGTTAGTTTTTGAAAATGTCATTTACAGATACATTGACATCTGTTTAGAATTCTTTGGTTTTATCTTTCATGAAGACTTATTAAGCTCCAGTATGATTTGTGTTCCTGGTAGGTCCTTCAGTTGTCCGTTACCATCTTCCTAAAATGTTGTTACTGTGGCGAAATGTGTTTCCCCGTTCGCTAAAGGAATTAGAAGCTGAAAAAGCTCGTGGAGATTCCTTTACATGGCAAGTAACACTGGAAGGACGTGCAGGAGCTCTCTGTGGTATGAATCTCAAACATACAGTAACCTTGTCAATACTTTTTCAGCCAGCCTAATTCCATATTTTAGGAATAAAGTAATCAGCTAGATTCAAAAGGACTAAAACATCTGTTTGAGTAATCTTTAGATGATTGCTTGTGACAAAGTGGAGGAAAAACTGGTACATATGCTATTGAAATGAAAAATTACTAAGAATATATTTGGAAAACATGCAGCCAGATTGTATTTCATCGTATCCATATTTAGAATATGCTAATATATGAGAATAGAATACAATGTTCTTAATTTTTTTAACAGGATGCAAATATAGTTGAATTGAACACTATATTTGTTAGGTCACTATATTATGTATGTGTGTTTGTGGATAGCCGATTTATCTTTTCTTTTTTAGTGGAAAGCTGTAGTTTAAGCAAAGAGCCCTATTTCAAAGAAAGAGAAAAAAAGCAAATGACATAGCAATAGCACTTATTTATTTATTTATTGAATTTATATTGCCACCTATTTGCCCATGGTGACTCAAGGCAACTTACAGAATATAAAACCACATTTAAAACAATAAAAACTAACAAAAATAATCAAATTAATTAATAAAGTACAATATAACAAAATCACCCCCCAACTCCCTCCCACCTTGTCCTAATGACAGCAAATCACACAAGCCATTTAATGGGCTCCATCCCGCTCTGGGTTCCCTAGGCCCGCTGGCAGAACTAGGCCTTCCGGAAGAGTATTAGAGTGGGAGCTATTCTAATTGCTGGGGAAATGTTGTTCCAGAGAGAGGGAGCCACCACAGACCCCTCTGGGTTTCACCAGGTGTAAATCCCTCAGGGACAGAACCCGAAACATTTCCTGCCTCCCCACTCTGATGGGTTGGGTAGATGTCACTGGCAAGAGGCGGTCCCTCAGATAACCTGGTCCCAACCATGAAGGGCTTTAAAGGTGACAGCCAGCACCTTGAATTGCACCCGGAAGCAAGTCAGCAACCACTTCACAGTGCTTTACAATCCTTTGCCCCCAACAATCTAGGTCTTCATTTTATCGACCTCAGAAGGATAGAAGGCTGAGTTAAACTTGAGCTGGTCAGAATCGAACTGGCAGTGGAATGCAGAATTAGCCTGCAACACTGCATTCTAACCACTGCGCTACCATGGCTCCATATGTCTTTTCTTCTCCTCAGTAATTTTATTATGAACATATATCAATTCAACTGTTAATTGCATTATATATTTAGTAGATACTTAAATTACACTGATTCTTTTTAAAGCTAGCATTTCTACAATTTTTTGTTGTTGCTAGCTATGAGGAGTTTTGTTGCTCACTGTCCTGAACTTCTAACAGAAGATGTTATTCGAAAATTGATGACACCTATTGAATGTGCTATGACAATGATGTCTCAGTAAGTATGTTTCTTAGAAATTGAAATTAGCTTTCTTTTAAAATAGGTTTGTCTGCCTAATCACTAATGGAACACAATCTGTGATCTGTGTTCTTATTGCAACTGCTAATCAACCTCTCTCTCCTCTGTTAGTCTTTTTTATATTTTCCCTCCCCAGATGAACATGTGTATGTGGATGGCTGTGGTGGATGGCTAAACTGTAATGAATTTGTGTGAAGGAGAGTTTAGGTGTGTATGGGTGATGAACTTGGAGTAAGTTCATTAATACCCTGCATTCTCTGTCTCTACCTTGTGATCGCACCAACTTTCCCTCCCCCTGTAATTTCAAAGAGCAAAATAACATGTTCTCCCTTTGGCACACATCTTCCAAAATTTATAGGGGAAAAGGTGGTTTTATTCCCAGTATTCTGTATCTACAGTATAAATTAAATAGCTTTTTAATGTAATAGTAACTTTCATGATTGTTTTTTTTTAACACGATAGCATTCCTTCTGTAATCAAAACCCATGGAGCACATCTGAAGGCAAGTGCAGCAATGGTTCGATTAAGGCTTTATGACATTTTGGCTTTGTTACCACCAAAAACATACGAAGGTAAAATTCACTTCTTTTCACTATTTTTCCAAATCTTAAAAATACCACTTTAACATGAGGTAGAAGCTTTGTAAACATTTTATTTCTCTGTTTTTTTAAATAGAGAAATAAAGAAATAAAGTTCAGCAGGAGAACTTTGTGCTTCCATATACTCACTTTCATACATAATAGCACTACCATCAAATAACATTTTCTGCAACTATCCAGGAGTTGTATTCAAATAATGATCTTGTAATCATACAAATGTTATTGGGGAATTGCTCATCATACAAAGCTACAGAACCTTCTGGAGTACACTATTTTGCCTTGGGATTGAACATGATCAGAATATTATTAGTTCTGGTTTTCCTGTTTTAAAATGAGGCTGAATCGTAATGCTTGTTGTTTAACGGCCCATGTAAAAAACGGTATTTTATTGTTTTGCTCTAGGTTCTTTTAATCCACTTCTTCGGGAGCTGGTGGCAGAATTTACTCTGACAGACAATTCTGCTAATACAACTACCTCCCTGCTTAGATCACTTTGCCACTATGATGATAGCGTCCTTCTTGGCTCTTGGCTACAAGAAACAGATCATAAATCAATTGAAGATCAGGTATCCAGTCTTGTTTTCCAATCCTTCCCAAGTGTCAGTTGTTTTTTAATTACACACTTGTATGTGTAATAAATAAATTACACATTTTCTGTTTTTTTAAAATACTAGCATATTAAATCTGAGTCAGATTGTTAAGGCAAAAATTCATTAGGGAAACTCATTCATTAGGGTTTATTTACTAAAGGTGAACTCAAGTGGCTGGATGGCTATTTGACACTGAAATGGACCCACCCCAAAATAAAATGGGTTCTGTATTCGATCCTTCCAGAGTTGCCCCATCAGTTTCCAGAACAATATAGTATAGCTAAGAATATGAAAGAAATGAAAAGGTCTTTTGATACCCCTGATGCTACTGAGCACAGTTCTCCAAAGGTCTAGCTAATATGGGAACATGCAATAAAGCAATATTTGGAGAGCCATAATCCCCCCATAGCTGATATAGACATATTTACCCCAATTAATGTAATTAATTGTTTCATAGCAGATATACAACTTCCCTAAATCTTGGGTTTCCCCATTTTTTTCACCATGCAGCTTTCACTTCTGCTTTGGGGAATAAGGAGTAGTACATAGAGGATGTCTTAGAGAGAATTATATTGTTATTAATGTTTGAGAAAAACCCATACTTTTGAAGTGATGCCAGCTTTTTCTCCTCATTCTTTTGATGCTGCCTGCAAAAATACCTTCTTATAAAGTGTAGATTGCCATTGAGAGCAAGGCAGCAATTAGACTTAGTGTATACAATATAATTCTCAAATCACTAAAGGCTCCTGCTTCAGGTTCCCTACCTCAGTAACTTTTAGTAGGAGCTGAAATACAGTGCAACACTAGGTCTGCAATCTATTAATGCAATGTTTAAGAAATTGGAAATTATTTCTAGAAAGTTGTCTTTGAATGTATATGAATATTTGTCTGACCCTAATGAATGTTGTATATTGGACAGAAGCGGAGAAGATTCTAGTAAGAATACAAAGTTGTACCTTCTATAGTTATTAGATGCTGTGGTTCTTTAGTTTTTACATATTCTATTGTGATGTATACTTCGTTTTCATATACTTGAAAGCCAGTTTGGTCTAGTGGTTAAGACACCGGGCAAGAAAGTGGGAGACCATGAGTTCTAATCCCATTTTAGACATGAAAACCAGATGAGTGACCTTGGGCTAGTCACTCTCTCAGCCCAACCCACCTCAAAGGTTGTTGAGGGGAAAATAGGAGGAGGAAGTGACTTGGATATGTTCACTACCTTGAGTTATTTGTAAAAATAATCAAGGCAGGATACAAATCAATCAATCAGTAAATATTCCAGATAGAAACTTCAGATGAAAATGTATGTTATGTAGTTATCATAGTAACTTAGGAATTATCAATACTGATAATTATGTGATTTGAATCCATTTCACTGAATAATGCAGCTTATGAGAAGGTCTTCACTTTGCTTGAGCTGAGGAGCCTACCAATAACATAGACTTTCTCTATTACATGGAAGGAAAACCCAGATGCGCATGTGCAAGATAAATGATACGGGGCTGAGCAATAGTACTTGCAAAAGAGAGGTGGCGTCTTGGTAGGCCATAGATTAAGGGTGAGACAGGAATGTGCTACAGCTGCCAAAATAGACAATGCAGTTTATGGCTGTATCAACAGAGGCATAGTGTTGTCACGGGAATTTATAGTACTGCTCTATAGTGCACTGATCAGACAACCTCTGACATTCTCTGCCCTGTTCTGGTCACCACAGTACAAAAAGGATGCTGAGGAATTGGAAAGAGTGCAGAGAAGAACAACAAAGATGGTAAGGATCTTGTAGGCTAAATCCTATGAAGGAACTTGGTCTGTTTACCTTAAAAAAGAGAAGGATAATGTGAGACAGGATAGCAGTCTTCTAATACATGAAGGGATGTCACAGGGAAGAGGCAATAGATGTATTCTTCCCATTACCTAAGCATAAGACAAGAACTGGTGGGTAGAAGCTTTACAATGAGATATCTAAACTTGAACTAAGATGGAATTCCCTGACTGTGAGAGTATGAAACAGTGGGATAGCCTGACTCCTGAAGTTGTGGGTGCTCCATCACTGGAGGTTTTCCAGAAAAGACTAGACATCTTTTTGTCCAGAATTGGTGTCAAGATTCTTGTATTGGGTAGGGGATTGGACTAAAAGAATTCCAAGGCCCCTACCAACACTTTGATTCTTCGATAATGAAAAAAGGACAATGAATAGCAGATGGACTTATTTGGGGATATAATTGTTCTGTAAAAACTGAAGATATATTATATAGGCCCCGTAGAGTACTCTTTTAACCAGGACAACATTTTTAAACTGATATGAAATGTTGTAGGATAAAAGATACATGTCTCTGATTTCAAATGTTCTGATGCTTTACAGCTCCAGCCCAACAGTGCCTCAGGAAGTGGTGCCCTAGAACACGATCCCTCCTCTATTTACTTGCGCATCCCAGCTGGAGAAGCAGTGCCAGGTCCCCTTCCTTTGGGAGTATCAGTCATTGATGCCTCAGTGGCTCTCTTTGGAGTTGTTTTCCCTCATGTGTCCTCCAAACACAGGTTTGCTACACTTCTAACACTTACACTTGAGTTGTTTTCCCTCATGTGTCCTACAAACACAGGTTTGTTACACTTCTGACACTTACACTTGAGTTGTTTTACCTCATGTGTTCTACAAACACAGGTTTGTTACACTTCATAACACCTCTATACCTCATTAAGGAGTTGTTTCATTCAGCAATATCAAAATGAGAACAATATATAAAAATAAGTTATCCTTTTTCCTTTTTTATAATTTTTCAAATGTTAAAACTTATCTTTCGGAAAAAGCTAGTGGACGTTCCATTTACATTATTTTCAGTACTCCGATTAGCATACTAGTTAGCTATTTAAATGTGATAAAATGGCTATAGTTAGCAGGAATAGGATTTGACTTGACATTCAAAGACAATTTTTATCTAGAAGTTCTCTGATGTTACCTTCTAATGCAGCTGTTGGTTTCCACCTGCTATCAGTTATCAAAAGGGGCTAAAGCACTGCTTCCCAACCTGATGCCCTCCTGGTATATTAGGACTGCAATATCCAGAACTACTACCCAGCATGACTTAAAGATCATACTGATAAAGTTAAAGAATTATTTGGATGCTTCTAAATATGGGAGGCAACTAGAAATCTAAGAGAATTTGGGGAACTGTAGGGGATGGTAATGGAGGTGGGTGAGGAGAAAGACAGCTGAAGTTAGAAGAAAAAGAGATTACCAGTACAGTTAAAAGACAAGAGAAACACAGGTATCCTTTATGAGGATAATTGTATAATGAAACACTCAGGAGATATTTACTGATAAAACTAAGACGAAACAACTTTTTTCCCATCCTTGTTGTACAATGGATATGCTCTTAGTGACTCATCGGGTTGCTGTGAATAAATGAAAGACGCAATATTCCCAACACCACCCACACACTGAAGATATCGCGCTACAGGGGAAAAGAATTAATTAAATGATAATTTCAGTGCAAGAACTACTTTAAGTTGTTCAAGAATAAGTTTAAATGTATTCATTTATTTCCAAGAAACTTAAAAGTGATTATGCCATTTTGGATTAAATAAATAAGACAAGTTTCATCATAGTTGCAGTGAATCTGGGCAGCGCAAGGCTGGTTTTTTACAAGTAAAAAATAGACTTCAGAGTTAATTCTAATTACATTAGTTCATATCTGATAAAAGCTGCTTTACTGGGTCAAGATATCTAGCAGCCATTATTATTGGACTGTGAATGTTTGCTAATTTAATGCTAGTTTCCTCATATTTATATTTTCAGGCTACAAATGTTGGATCATTTTGCAGAATGCATCAAGCAGGCAAAAGGTGTTCGTCAACAAGCAGTGCAGCTTAATATTTTTACCGCTGTTCTCAGTGCACTAAAGGTAAATCTGTTTCAAAAGATGAAACTATAGTGTTACCCTCAAGCAATGGAATGCACTCTTAGGAGCTTTGCCTGCTCTCTTGGTTTTTAGTAAGAGACTTGTTACTTTAGCTAGGCCTTTATAGTTTAATTAGCAAACAATGATTTTTGATTTTTTTTATCACGCTTTAAATAGTGATTGTATTTTTATCGTTACTTGCCTTGAGTGCCCTTTGGGTAGAAAGGTAGATTGTAAAGTGAATACATAACGATAATTGTATAATTAAAATGTAATGATTTGTAAGATGCTGAAAAGCAGGTATATAAGGGCACATTCATAATGTATTTCCTTAAGCTAATCTGTGACTGCTTTAAAGACGTTCTAGATCATGTTTTAAAGTATTATCTTTCATAAAAGGGCTTGGCTGAGAACAAAAGTACCTTAGGACCTGAAGAAGTCCGCAAGTCTGCTTTGACTCTTGTAATGGGAGCGCTTGACAATCCTAATCCTATTTTGAGATGCGCTGCAGGAGAAGCTCTGGGCAGAATGGCGCAGGTGGTTGGGGAAGCAACTTTCATTGCCCGGATGGCTCAATACAGCTTTGATAAGTATGCTGTAATTTTACTTTACATAAAACAAGAACTGTGCTAAATGCTATTTCTGTTTGGGCTTGTTTGTTTATTGTTTAAATTGCTTTCTTTTGTACAAATATGAAAAATATATAAATTATATAATTAGCTTTTGGTATTTGTAGTGATTCTGTTCCAACATAAAACCATCAATAGTGAAACCATGAATAATCCGTAGTTAGATTCTGGAGCGTATGCTCATTTTCTTCAGCCAAGAGAGGCTGTTTTCTTCCAGCTTGCAAGAGCAGTACCAGTCTCTGTCATTGGTACTTTATTCTAAGTCTTCAAAAAAAAAGGACTACCTCAGCCCAACCACACTGGCCCAAGCCATGGGCATTCTCTGGCTGCCATATTAAGCCCAATTAAGAGGTTCTTTTCACTGTGAAAGTCATGTCGACTGAAGAAGTTAGCATGAGACATTTGGCATGAAGAAGGTAGTACCCTTCATCATCAGCCAGCTAATTGCTCCAGAAAAGAAAGCAACCAGATACCACAGGATAGCTACTTGCAGCCAGGCTGATCCAACAAGATCCGTTATAATCAAGTGAGAAGAAGTAACAAATATACTAGAATAGAATAGAATAACAGAGTTGGAAGGGACCTTGGAGGTCTTCTAGTCCAACCCCCTGCTTAGGCAGGAAACCCTAAATGATTTCAGACAATTGGTTATCCAATCTGTTCTTAAAAACTTCCAGTATTGGAGTATTTACAACTTCTGGAGGCAAGTTGTTCCACTGATTAATTGTTCTAACTATTAGGAAATTTCTCTTTAGTTCTAATCTAACTCTGTTGTGACATTATTCTATTTACAGATGTGTAAAAGCCCATCTGCATTTTGTACAAACATAACAAAATGAAATAGAAGCCAAAATATGAATATGTGAAGTTCTTATTTGTATACTCAAATGTTGTCTACATGTAACAGTTGTGAAAATTCAAAACTGCCAATACACAAACTGTGTGTAACAATAATATTCCAGTAATTTTGGCTGAATGAACTATAACTGAAGAAATTCAGCTGTAAGAATGCACATAAATGAAGCTGATCAGTATTACTTCCTTAGTTTGTTGATTAAAAAGAAGTATGGCCTTTGTACCTTTGGAAGCTTGCTATAATGCTATGCAGTTTTTGTCCCCCTTCTCTCACCCACTACTACCATTAGAGATAGAATTCCAGAGGATGAGTGGTATGTGACAAGGCTGTGGTTCTGGATCCTGAGGTAGTAAAGGCCGAGTGACTGCTTGGAAGTGGATTAGGAGATAATAGTAGATGTGATCCAGCCCTCCTCCCCTTACAGCCCCTTCCTAACTGCTTGGCTTAAAGCCCTTGTTGCTTGAATTGTGGTCTCAGATGCAGATGTGGCATGTCAAGCAGTGGTACGTGGTTGAAAGCAGACATTATTATTCAATGAAACCTCTGATGAGGTGATTACAGGCCCTTTGGCAGTAGGCAGGACAGGTGCCTTGGTTCAAGAGAGATTTTAACACAGCTTGAGCACCTTAGAATCACAAAGTGATTCTGTTGTAAACTCTGCTGCTGCTTCCCCCCCCCCCCCCATTATCGCCACATAACTCAAAGCAAATTCAGAAGGTGTAAATACTTTTGAATTCAGTGGATCTCACTTTGAAAAATAATACTAAAATGAATGTTTTTGAAGTGAATGCAAATACATGGCTTATTTGGGTGTCAAGATAACTTGATTGACTTTGGGTTCTAAGTTTTATAAAGGGTTGGAATAGTGTGGAATCAAAAGAAGAAAATCAATTTGTTTTAAAGAGAGGGTTTGTAGTTCCAGAGTTACAATTCTTTTAATTGCATGTATTTATTTTATATCTGTTCATGGCTGTAGAAAAATAAAAGATTTGTTTATTACAAATGTTTTAAATGGTTACATTTGTTCGGTTTAATACTGCAATGTGGAATATTTTTTTATATGTGAAGAAACTGAGGGAAGAAATGAGAGCAAGAGAGGAGGGAACATTCAGAACAATTTTTGTAATTCAATTTCACTTAGTGAATTATTTATAAATGCTTTTTATTACAAATATAAAGATAATCCTGTCTCCTAAAGACAAAAACTGAGACCCAATTGCTACTATATTACATTAATTTTCTATTATCATTGGAATTAAAAGGTGTGTTTTTAATGGGGAAATTGAGTTATTTTGAAGTATAGGCTGGTTTTAACAATGTAATTATAAAATTTTGTTTAAAATAAAATTGAAATGACATCTAGGTAGCTCTGTTCATTTTATGAATATCCACAATGATGCTTTGGTTATTTCCAAAATGTCTATGAGCTTATGGAGTTGCATAGCATTGCTTTTTGTCATTTACAAAAAACGTTTTGTGCTTAGAGTTTTGCTATCTTGACTGTGGATTTAATGACTTTTTAAACAAATATTGGCAGGTTGAAATCTGCTAGAGATGTTGTATCAAGAACTGGCCACTCTTTGGCCCTTGGATGTCTGCATCGCTATGTTGGTGGAATAGGCTCTGGGCAGCATTTGAAAACCAGTGTCAGCATTCTATTAGCCCTAGCACAAGATGGGACCTCTCCTGAAGTCCAGGTAAAATTAATAAATATTCATACACATTATATGAACATACGTTATAGGAATATAATATTTGTGCTTTGAAAAATATTAGACTTTACACAAATGTATAATCTTGCTGTTATTTAGTTAAGAAGCATGACTTTTTTGGTATTCTGCAAATTTGCTTTAAGGAATCCAGTTGTTAAGGTTAGTGTGACTCTTATTGTGATAAAATATTTTTACCATAATAACGCAAACTTCTTGCTTTAAAGATTTTATGCATTATCCTTTTTATGAATTAAAAAAAATATTATTTGTATTTTAGGGAACTGTTGACTAGAAATCATAAATTATATTTGTTAGTCTAGGTGGCTCTGCTACCCCTTCTTTTGTGAGGCATGGGAATATTTATGTTTCTTTAATTATTATTATAATAGGTAGTTTCTGTACAGTTCCCAATCTAGAGAGACATGTTAATGATGTTAGTATATATGGATGAGAATCTATTTGTTATACAGCTATCCTTGACTTAGGATCACAGTTGAGCTCAAAATTTATGTTGCTAAGCGAGACAGTTGTTAAATGAGTTGGGCCTCATTTTGCAACCTCTTTGCCACAGTTGTTAAGCAAGTCACTGCAATTATTAAGTGAATCATGCAGTCGTTAAGGAAATCTGGCTTCTCCCATTGACTTTGCCTGTCAGGAGCCAAATGGGAAGATTGTGATCACATGGCCCCAGGAAGTGCAACTGTCATAAATAAATGCCAGTTGCCAACTTCCTGAATTTTGATCACGTGACTGTGGGGATGCTGCAATGGTCTTAAGTAAGAAAAAAGATCATAAGTCATTTTTATTAGTGCTGTTATAACTTTGAATGGTCACTCAATGGAGAAATTGTAAGACGAAAGCATATGATTAAATTAGTCATTCTTCTTCTAGACATGGTCTCTCCATTCACTTGCTCTAATAGTGGATTCCAGTGGACCAATGTATCGTGGATATGTGGAGCCTACCCTATCTTTGGTCCTTACTTTACTTCTGACAGTGCCTCCATCCCATACAGAAGTTCACCAATGTTTGGGTCGATGTCTGGGAGCTATAATAACTACTGTTGGTCCTGAGCTACAAGGTTAGCACGACAACAATGAAAGCGTTGGGAACTTCCCTAAAGTTTTATGCATATTACATTGCTTGCAATTTAATACAAATGTTCAGTGCTTTGGACCCAAAGCGAAAAAGGTTCTTCAGAGCAGACGTGAGCATGCATGCTGCTCTTCTTGGCACATTCTTAACAAAGCTACTACTTTTCTTGAGATTGCAAAGTAGAAGCACGATCCCTGGAAAAATAGGTGTTTTAAATTGAAAAGGTACTGACAGTGCACCTACAACCATTCCTAAACGTATGTTTTCACACTCTTGGTACCTTCTTAAACTCCTAACTTGTACTTTTTTTGACCCCAGGTGGTTATTGTGATTCTAGGAGTGACATTGTTTTCGTTAAGGAGGCGCCAACAAATGTTTGTTCTAAGACACTTTTTGGCTTTAAATCCAAAGTGCTCTACATCCCTAGGTTTTAGTGAGAGGCAAGTTTACTATTTTTATTCTTTTTACTTTCCAGATGCAATTCTAGTATTATTCTGTGTTATGTGTACTATATACATTATACCTAAGAACATTTTCTTATAATTATGTAACTCACATTGTCAAGATTTTATCGACTAGAGAAAACTGGTAGTTCTTCTTGGGCACAGATACCTGACTGGTAAAATGTATGGGTTACACTTAACCACGTTGTAATAAACTGAATTATAATCACCAAAGTTCAGTCAAGATGATTTTTTTCTTCCATTCAGTTGTGTCTGATTGTCAGAGACTGCCTGGACAAGTCCTTGCAGTTTTCTTGGCCAGATTTTTCAGAAGTAGTTTGATACTGCTTTTTTCCTAGGGCTGGGGAAAGTGCCTAGCCCAAGATCACCCAGCTGCTTTGTGCCTATGGTAGGACTATAACTCACTGTCTCCTGATTAATCACTACACTAAACTGGCTTTTTAATTCAACTGTAATTGTATATAGGTCCAATTGTTTCTAGGCTGGTTTTATGGCATACCATACTAGTGATTCTTGAATTATCTGGGGTCCAGGTCATTTCCTGAACAAAATTCTGAGAATTCATCTTGATCTTTTAATAATTCTTATCAGAGATTTTTCTTTAAGATTTGCTACCATTTGAAATGTGTCTTGAGGAGAATACCCCTCAGAAATTATACTATAGAGTTCAGTTCCTTTCTTTCGCAGATCAATTTATTATTTAAGATAGTTTTATACTGTTTTGCATAAGCTGCATCTTAATATAGTGTACAATGAAATGATTAAAACATTACATTGGAAGTAAAACTATGTAAACATATTTATACAACCTAAAACTCCTGTGATTTGATTGGTTGTAGCCTTCAGTTGGGTGAAATGGTACCTCATAGGCACTAATTTTTTAATTAACTTACCTCAGATGGCCTAAGTGACAGAATTTATCCAAAATCCAGGACCATGACTCCCATGACATTGAAATTTGACAAATTTGAGGCTGCTTCATTAAAAGTTGCTAGAGTGCTTTATTGCCATGGTCAGCCAAGTCACTTGATTGTGATTTCTAATGCTCCCTGCCAGCTTCCTACAAAGAAAGTCAACAGGGAACCTGGCAAAAAGTCAGAAGTTGCTCCCACTCTCACTGCTTTCCCTCCCTTCCTGTGGTCATTCTATTTCTCTTTAGGTAAGCAGATATCTCTGAAGTAATAATCCAAAAGATCACAAGTTCTCTAGTGTTCATTAAAAAAGCGGAGAGTTTGGCAGGAAAAGGAACAAAATAAAATCTATCCAAAATACACAGAGAAAACCCAAAAGAATAGATAGAACTTCAACACTACAGGAACTTAAAAACATATAATAATAGACATCTGATGGTGGGAGAAAATATTCAGAAATGTATTATTTAGCATGTGAATATCCCAAACTGAGTCTTTATATTTCCTTAGAGGATCGTACTTTTCTGGGGTATTAAATAGCAAGATACTCATTTGGCTGTCTTTCATTTCACAATTTATGAAAGTTGATTTAAAAATGCTAATTTTGATAGGTAATGGAGCTACTATTTCTACCATTCGTTCCTCATGTCTGGTGGGATGTGCAATTACACAAGATCATTCTGACTCTCTTGTTCAAGCAGCTGCCATTTCCTGTCTTCAGCAACTTCACATGTTTGCACCACGACATGTTAACCTTTCCAGTCTTGTTCCCAGTCTTTGTGTAAGTATATTTTGTTCTTCCTATATGTAGCAACAGCAAATAGCTGTTGCACTTAGACTTATATACTGCTTCACAGTGCTTTCGAGCCCTCTCTAAGCGGTTTACAGAATCAGCCTATTGCCCCCAACAATCTGGTCCTCATTTTACCCACCTCAGAAGGAGGGAAGGCTGAGTCAACCTTGAGTTGGTGAGAATCGAAGTGCTGAACTGCTGGAAACTGGTGGACAGCAGAATTAGTCAGCAAAACTGCATTCTAACCACTGTGCCACCATGGCTCTTATATCCCAAAATAGCGTCCCACAAATGCTCATGATGACACCAACATTGTCAGATCGCTGCTTGTTGCAAGCATGTATAAAATATACTGTCTATCTTTGTAATAAATTATATTGTATACAGATCTTTCTGTTAATCTATAAATTTAATAAGTATAATCTATAAGTTGGAGTGCATTAAAAAAGTCTGAGGTTGGCATTTAGATTTTTCAAATTCTTAAAATGCTTTTATCCGCTGAATGAAGATGAGACACAGTGTTGTATACTTATGAACCTTTCATGAAACTAATTCTTTTGTTACACTTTGCTGAAATGCAAAAACACGAAGATTTTCAGTATAATTGTTAATAAATTAATTGGTTCAAAAAGTGTTCCTTGCAGAATAATTAGACACTCTGCATATTGTTTCTTTCTGTGAGTAAAGATCAGGACGTTGCTATGTTATGTAAAAGTAGACGACTTAAATGTATTTTACTGGAAGAAAAATATTTAACATCTCTGTTTAAAAATTTTTTATTCGGCTTTGTCATAAATTGAGTTGAAATCTATGCATCTTAAAATTGCCAAGGTTGAGAAACACAGATTGAAATGCTCTTACATAATGTGTAGCAGCAAGTGATTGCCATTAATCTGTAGAAGCTACAAACATTTTGAAGTAACCAAGCCCCCTTTGGCTGCTTTTTGATGGTTATAGGTTCACCTGTGCAGCTCCCATTTGCTTCTACGTAGGGCTGCAGTAGCATGTTTGAGGCAGCTTGCCCAAAGAGAAGCAGCAGAAGTTTGTGAATATGCCATGAGCTTAGCAAAAAATACTGGAGATAAAGAGAATAACGGGACAAGTAAGTATTGGACCAAAGAGTGGAGCTTCTTAAAGCTATTTCCTGTTTTTTGTTTTTCAGCTGTGTTTTTCTCTCTCACAATTTTGCAAATTATATGAATATTCTCTCCTTTCACAGGTTGATAGATGGTTAGTAGTTTTCTCTTGATTGGCCGGGGAAAGGCATTTGCTGAGCCTAGGCCTGCAGAGATAAATAGCAGTTTTATCCTCTGCATTTTTAATCAACTGTTTTGTGTAACACAGAAGGGTGCTTCCTAAGATATGGAAAGATGAATCGAAGAGATCTTATTAATTCAATCTGACTGTGCAAATCTAGATGGAATCTTACTGTAGTTTAGCAGGTTTTGTTCACATTGAAGATCTATGGTACTGTAATGTAACAATTATTCTGGTTTCTTTAATGGATCGTAGCCATTGTATTAATTAATTAAATAATTCACTAGAAAAATCTCAGATGTTGTACTACCTAATATATGTTTTGCAGATATTAATCCTTTTGCCCTAGGACTTTGCTCTCGAAGAGATAGTCATGGCAGACATCAAGGAATTAATATAACAGAGACAGGACTGGAAGGAGTTCTTTTTGGAATGTTAGATCGTGAGACTGATCGGAAATTGTGTTCTGATATTCATGATACTTTGGGCCATATGCTTTCATCTCTGGCAGTGGAAAAACTCTCTCACTGGTTAATGTTATGTAAGGATGTCCTCGCAGCATCTAGCGGTAAGAATCTGAAAATGACTTGGTAAATGAGTGAAGAAAATATTTATTGTCTTCTCTTTTTATAGAGATTTCTTTGTTTACTGTTAAAGAACTGTTCAGTTTGCAATCTGTTGTGTCTTCAGAAAATCTTTTTTATAAATTATGAAAAGGTCATCTATGATAAATCAACATCTTTTATTTATTTATCTGAATTTATGAGCCACCTAATTCCAATGAACTCTGGACAGCTGATAAATACTTCCTGATTACTTCAGACAACAGTGGAAAAAACTTTTAATGATTTTTATTCTTTGGTTTGTGCAGTGGGACTTAATAAATACCTTCATAAATGTGGCTTTTTAAAGAATCTAGCTAAGATTTGTAGAGAATTAACATGCTTCATTATCTTTGTTGAATTAAAAAGCTGATAGTTTAACTAATTGGCCATATACTTTCTTTACTTTAATTTCTTTCCCTTAGACTAATTTCTTGATTTTTGAAATGTTATTTTGTTCTGAATTGCTTTCATTTGTAACTGAAATATAGTTGCAGAAATTTTCTTTTTATACACTTTGTACAGCACTGCAAATCTTTTTTTCTCCTTTATGTGTCGTTTTCTTGGTAGAAATGTTAATATTTTGCCTACATTCTTGACAACTTTATCATGGTTTTCAGTGAAACCAGGCTATTTAAAGGCAAAACTGCAATTGTGAAATTGCAATACCTGAAATAACTTGCATTTTATATGAAGGTTCCCATGAGCTATTAGTTTCATTTGGAACCATTAGGTGGGTAATGATCGGAAATAAAGCTGCCTTTGTGATGGCATTCCAATAGCAGATAACAGATAGTCGGAGTTGGAATAGGTCATCTAGTCCAACCCCCTGCCCAAGCGGAAGACCCTACACCATTTCTGACAAATGGCAGTCCAATCTCTTCTTGAGGGCAAGCTGTTCCATTGGTTGATTGTTCTCACTGTCAGAAAGTTTCTCATTTCCAGGTTAAATCTCTCCTTGTTCAGTTTCCACCCATTATTTCTTGTCTGGCACTTTAGATTGCGAATGCTGTCTTCTCTTGTCTTTTCAACTGATGAAAACAATGCTGTTCTTCCAACCATTTATAGGATATGATTTTAATAACTAATCTTGGAAGTTTCATTCAAGTCCTGGTCCTCAATATCTTGTATAAATAATAAATCTCTTATTACATACAGATATGACAACTACAGTTCCATTAGGAGGTGAAAAAGATGAAGATTTGGAGAAGAAGGATGAAATGGATGATGATACAATGTTTACTACACTGGGTGAAGAAGACAAATCAAAGCCCTCTGTGGCTCCTCGCTGGGCTACTCGAGTATTTGCCGCAGATTGTCTGTGTCGGATTATCATGCTCTGTGAACATGCAAATAAAGCCCACTTTGATCTAGCTCTGGCCCGCTCTGCCAAACTTAGAGACCCTAAAAGTAAAGAATTGTTCATTTTTTCCTCTTCTTTTTCCTTGAATTTGTTTCTTAGCCACTTTAAAGTGAAGTATTTCCTTGATGAAAAATGGATTGCTGTAGCCATATTATGCTTCAAAATGTCTTACATGGTTTATCATAATATAGCGAAATGCATCAGGGATAGGTTACAAGTATGTTTGCCTGAAGGTTTTTTTTTTGTCTATTCTACACTTTAAATTGCTCATCACAGCACAGGTAGTCCCTGACTTATAACAGTTACCATTTGTAGTGACCATTTGAAGTTATGATGGCGCTGAAAAAAAGCAACTTGTGACCATTTTTCACATTTATGACCTTTGCAGCATCCTCATGGTCATGTGAATAAAATTCAGGCGCTTGGCAACTGGTTCATATTTATGACGGTTGCAGTGTCCCTGAGTCATGCGGTCCAGTTTTATGATCTTCTGACAAGCAAAGTCAATGAGCAAACCAGATTCACTTAACAACTTTATTACTAATTTAACAACTGCAATGATTCACTTAATGTGTGGTAAGAAAATTCATAAAATGGGGCAAAGCTCACTCAACAAATTTCTCACTTAAAAACATTCATTTTGAGCTCAATTGTGGCCATAAGCTGCCTATTTAGATTTGTTTTTCTACAACTGAAATTTGGTTAAAGTAAGATATTTTAAATTATGTTTTGCTCTTTAATAGTCTCATGTACACTTTTGAATACTGTTCTTATATCATTCCTTCCTGCTTTTGTTCACATTTTGAATATATCTCAGACCATGGTTTATTGTAAAACTGTTCATCATAGTTTCCGCAGTCGAGCATAATGCAAAGTATAGTTAATTCAACTGGGAAATCTTCAGTGTAAGGAAGATGAAGGTGGTGATACAAAGATGGAAAAAGTTATTTCCTGGGGGCTATCGTGAGCTTTTCAATATCATCTGAATGACCAATGTGCTTAAAAGTTGGGACACCATACTTAAAATTTGCAGATATTTCCGCTGATATACGTATCTTATAAAACAAGATACTGAATGTCATTTTTGTTAGTGATTTTACAGACTGAGTGTTAAATGGGCCAAGTTATTTATATCCAGTAGTGATTCTTCCTTAACAGAAGACATCTTCTGTTTTCATAGCTCATGCCATATAGTTTTTTCTGATGTTCCCTATAAAAATATAGAGATCTGTATCTCATCAAAAAATTGCCCCAGAGAAACGATTTCCAATAAAATAAATCATCATTATAATACACGAAATCTGTATATGAATTTCGTCTTTCTAAACTCAATAAAAATGCATTTAATCTCTAATTGTGATTACAATTTAATATTGAAATAAGGTAAAATGTTAAAAGATGCTAAATGCAATGAAAGCCACGATTGTAGGCTGTTCCTTATTTTTGTACTCTTTGAATAGTTCTGCTTTATAGTCTGAATTAAGCTTTTGTTTCAGAAATACTGTGCATTGTTGTTCCCTTAACCAAATTAGCCAGTGGCTTGAATCTTAGAAGTGATCACATGCTCTTCTGTGAATAATAGGTACTATGAGCTCGCTAACTATGGTTTAGATTTTTGCAGAACATGAGATGAACTCTGTTCATCAAGAATTTTTAAAAATTCTTGTCCCGAGAAGAACAGTGCATACAAGAAAGGTCCTGGCATTTGAAACAATATTTTTGCTCAGGATTTAGGGGAGGGTTTGCTTTGCTGAAACTGGAGTAAACGCACAACTTGTTTTTTTTCCTGAATATCAAAGCTGGCCAATTGTGAGTGGCTTTTGAGATAAGTAAGTTCTTTTCTTGTTTTTATTTTCAGATGACCTTCTAGTGCTTCATCTCTCGGATCTTATTCGCATGGCATTTATGGCAGCAACTGACCACAGCAATCAGCTGCGAATGGCTGGTCTCCAAACACTTGAAGACATTATCAAGAAATTTGCAGCAGTTCCTGAACCAGAGTTTCCAGGCCATGTAATTCTAGAACAGTATCAAGCTAATGTAAGATAATCTTTGGGTTTTATGCCAGTTTAAAATCATATGGGGAAAGCTTTGTATCTCATCCCAGTATTGTTTATGTTGGAGTTTTGAACTGCATACACTGATGCTTTTTGAAAATAGTCAATGGTCTGTATATGTACATGGAGTTCAGTCAGAGCTTTACTCTTTACTCTTGAGTTTGTGAGGATTGATAGATTAGGCGTTTCTTCATAAAAGTTTGGATTATTCCAAGAAAATGTTCCATAATTTATCTTAAATTCATCAATTTAAATGAATGTGATTTTGCTTGTTTTGTTTTGCTCTAGGTGGATATTGCACGCAGACTATATTGTGTGTCTCAGAAAAACACCATTAATTCATTCATTTGAAGAAATCTATACAAATTTCATGATGTTTTGTTAGAACTGAAAAATTCTATGAGATTTGGCAATTTTATGAGATTTTGACCTTATTAAGTGTTGTTATTCATATTGCATTATAATATGACACATATTCAAAACTAATGTAATTATTTGTATTGCAATTGCAAGGGTCCATTTGGGGGCATAGAGTGGTTTCGGCTTCCCATTGTACCCAGAAGCTTTCAGTTACAAAGTAGAACTTCATATGAAGGTTGTGAGCTGATGCTCTAGATTCCTACAAATTTAAGATAATTACATTTTAAGATATATAGTGTGAATTATTCTTTCATATCTTTTGTTTCCTATGAATACTTTTTTGAACTTAAAAGAACCTATAGAAGAATATCTGTTATTCTAAGCTGTATCTAATAGTGATCTCGTGTTCTCCATCCTGTCCTAATAGTAGCTCTTTCTTTAATCACCTAAAATGTTAATAAACCTGGCTAGAATCCATTCAAATCACATGAAGTGCTCACTTCCTTTTTAACTGACACCATTATCACCATTGCTTATCACAGAAATGTTGGCATAAAGCCTACTTAAAAAATAACAGTACTTTATGGATCTGTGTGCTTCTAAAATTTGAATCCACTTTCCTCCACGAAAATGACACTGATAGATGAAACAATTAACCTAGACATATAGGAATTCCAATTTTGGTTGCTGAGATACGAGATGTTTTGCTTTCTTTCTTCTTTAGGTTGGGGCAGCTTTAAGACCTGCTTTCTCCCAGGATACCCCTTCAGATATAACAGCAAAAGCTTGCCAGGTACAAAGAAAAGCATTAATGCAATTTCAGAAATTCAAAATGCAATATGTGGAAATGAGAGAGAAATGAACAGCAATTTTGACATGTGACTCTAAAAATATACAGTGTAAATATTGCTTCAGTATTTTTCTTAGAAGATTACACTGAGAAAGCAACTTGTCTCTTTAAATTTTTTGATCATCTGTATCATCATGCTATTTAACTATCTTTGGAGGTTTTTAAGATATGTGCATAGGGATTTTCCCATTTTGGTGTGAAGGATATTCTTTCTGCTTTTTCAAAAGGCAGGGGATAATTATTTGTATTAATCTCTCCTAGAAAATATATTCTCGTTTCTTTTGTTTCAGCCTTTCTGTCTTTCGCTGAGATGAGATTTGAATTGAATTGATATGTTATTGGATCCATGCTTTCATTGATTTTTAGGTATGCAGTGCTTGGATTGGAAGTGGTGTTGTAAGTGACCTTAATGACCTCCGTCGTGTTCACAACCTTCTTGTCTCTTCTTTGGACAAAGTACAAACAGGAAAAGGGTCTTCCAGCCAGCTGTATAGGGAGAGTGCCACTACGATGGAAAAACTGGCAGTACTCAAAGCCTGGGCAGAGGTAAATGTTTAGCAATTATCATCTAGCAATTAGTTATTCTAGCTTTCCTGTGGCATTCAGTGCAAATGCTCTGTAGTTCCCTGCTGTAACTCTCTTGATTTCATAGCATAGAAATGCAGCCAAAATTAGCTAATTAACAAATTCACACTTGCTTGCTCCTATTACAAGCAACATCTTTTTTGTTTAGGTTTTAAGCATAAAACAATTACTTGAGTGATAATTGGAAGATATTCAGCCTAGCTGAGTACTTCCACTGGCAGAATGGGGGAGAAAGATATCACCATTAGTTCTCTTCTTGCTAGCAGTACTCAATTCCAATTCTGAGTCTGAGTCTGTTCCATAGGGTTGGATAACACACTGAAATAGCGACAGTGGTTTTTGAGGTTGCACAGAAAGAATAATTATTGCTTAAAGTTGTGGCCATTATGATTCACGCATAGGTTCTATGTTAGCTCCCTCAATTTAAAAGCTTCTGCTTCTCTTCTAATTTGCTTCAACGAGAGGTACCAGCTTCATCTTTTATTTCTCCAGGTGTCCAGCTGGTCAATGATTAGTCTCCAATGTGACATTACATTAGGAGTCAATATTTCTCAAGGCAGAAATGTCAGTTATGTCAACAATCAACAAGCAGCTGAGCTGCACAGCTCAAAACTGCAAGGCCAAAACACCATTAAAATGTAGGAAATGTGGTGAAAATAACTTTCAGATTTAAACTGCATAAACTGTCATGTTGACAGAGCGAAAAAAGCTACTATAACGTCAACATGTTTCACATTGTTAGAATTGATATGGCTCCTAGTTTCCAGCTTGACTATCTCGACCAGAGTAGGTTTGAGCCTTCTAGCTATCTGGCATGTACTTCCGAACAGCAGATATTTTGAAATAGCTCAGTCTTTTCTCAAGATACCATCATTCATGCAAAGTTTGCTCCCATTACTGGAATTATGATAGGCACTACAGATAGGTCTCATCCAGAGAACAGTAAGATCACTCTACTGATAAGTTGCATGCTAGTGCAGTTCCCTAGAACCTAGTGACTATATGTCATTTTGTGCCTTCTTTTGTAGCAGCTATGCACACTTTTATGGTAGAATAAGGCAATGTATTGGCTGGCTTCTTGAGGCACTGGCAATGACAGTGCAGAAATGGAAACATCATGTTTTAGTCCTAGTCATCTGCTTCTCTTACTGGGGTACCCTAATAATAGGACACATAATAGTACATAATCGATAATAAGCTCTGCACCATCTATGTTAACAATTATTCTTCCCTGTTTCAGCAGAAGTGCTTTGGTTATTAATCTTTAGAAAATAAGTTCTAGCTCCAGTGTCTCCAAAGTTTCTTGTATTTATTTCCTCTTGTTTTTATGGATTCTGTGGATGTTACCAGAATCATTCAGGACAGATCTCATGCTATTCTATAGATGCTGCAAGGTCATCTTAATCAGGAGGCCATCAGATTTTCCCATTGCCAGTTTGATCTAGTGGTTAAGGCACCAGACTAGAAAATGGGAACCACGAATTCTAGTCCCATCTTAACCATGAAAGCCAGCCAAGAGATCTTGGGTCAGTCATTCTCTGTCTCAGCTCAACTCAACTCACAGGGTTGTTGGGGGAAACAGGGAGGAGGAAGGTGTGCATATGTTGGCCTCCTTGAGTTATTTGTACAACTAGTAAAGGTTGGATACAAATAAATAGATAAATTACTCCCCAGGAAAATATTTGTCTCCCATCTAGACCAGATCTGAATAATTTGACTGACCATTTAGATGGGACTACTTTCAAATGTATGAATTAAGTTATGGTCTTTCAGCTAAAGATCAATTCTGTGGCAATTTCAATAGCCCTAATGGATGGCTTTACTGTCTTTTCTTCACCCAATTATAATACGGTTTTGAAAAGGTTTTATCAAATTTGATTCTCCATGGTGTATCTCCCCTGTGTAACAGTTCTCTTCAGTATTATCCATGTTGGTATTGCTTGTTAGTCTTTTTCATATATATACCTTTTTCATTTTTTTTGACATGACATAGCAAAGTTTGGCACAACATTTTGTCTATGTCCTTCATTCAGGTGGGCCTTTGATTTTTTTCATAAGGACAAGATTGTTGTTTATGTAGATTTTTTTTTTGCCCAAAGACAAGTCTGAATTTGTGCCATGTTTTTTCAAACCCTATTGAAATGTATTTCCCAGATTCTCAATCCTGAATGGACTATATGGCATCTTGTGTTTCTTAGAACTTATAGCCTCTATAAGGTGGTCACTTTCATAATTTAGTCATAGGAATAGCACTTCATTTTATTTCTAACATTTTGCTAACTGACTCAGTCACTGCCAGACTTCATTATGATCTAAATAATATCCATATTCTGCTGTTCAGAGTTGATTGATAGTAAATCTTAAACCATTTTAGAGAAGTTTAATGTTGCCTGAAATCTGCCTTCCTCCTTCTGATTGAAATCACCCATGTTTATCAGCACTGTCCATTGGATGCACAGCTTCTGAAAGCTAGCCTATGTCCTGTATTGCACACTTCACTTCCCCAGATTATATGAACATGCTAATGAGGTATGCTGTATGTATTATACAGATTGCAATGAAGAATTGGTTACTGGTTTTTTCAGTTAACTCAAGTTCTGTAAATTTCCAGTCTGCTGCCCTCTATACTTAGGTTTGAATTTAGTTTATCTTCATGCTGATCTTTTAAAATTTGATCCCCGACTGGAGATCTTGAGAATTAAGAATAAAGACAGTGGTGGCAGGGGAGAGTCCTGCTTTTCAATAAAGTGTGTTATGGTATATTGTAGAGATCTTACCAAAATCCTAAGCTCCTTTAGGATTTCCTCTTATACATTTTCATTTAAAATTTTTAATACAGCTATTTTGAAAGTTATTTTTTTTTAATTTCATGGTTGCGGAGCCTTTAAATTAAACTGAAATATACTGCCATGATGTTTTAAGCCCATGTAAATTTCCTAAGAAATGTTAGAGTTGTTCATTTCTTCCACAGAATTTAATGCACACATAAAGCACAATTGGGAGTTAGCATGATATGGTATGCAAAGTTTTAAAATACATTGCAGGTACAGACTTGGTGGCTGATCTTAGGTAACGTTCTTATCTGAGCGTCTCTTCTCTGAATGCCAAACAGTCAAGAAAATAAGGAGTTATTTTCCTGGATTGTGATGAGAACGAAAATCTGAGGACTTGTAATTTGTCTGATGAAAAATGTAATTACTATTGTTTTTGTGTTAAGTCAATTGTTTTATACACTTTCTTTACAGTATATAATATAATGGTACTAGTAAAACTAATTCAGATCACCTAAATTCTCTTTTTCAAGTTTTTTTTTATGTTATCGGAGTTCAGCATGTACTCTATTTAATGATATGTAAGACATATTTTATCTTCTCTACACACTTAGTAATATGTTGCATGCGCTTTACCTAAAGGTATATGTTGTAGCTATGAAGATTAAGAAAGAAGCAGAGACCAAACCAAAGAAAGCGGCAAAAAATGGAGGAGATGATGACGATGATGATTATGGCACAGTAGATGAACTGCCACCAGATAGTCTGATAACACTTGTTCAACCAGAGCTGCCCACTCTCAGCCGTCTCTGGTTAGCTGCCCTCAAAGACTATGCCCTTTTGACATTACCAGCTGAATTTGCAAGTCAGCTTCCTCCAGACGGTAAGGCATAAAATTTTTATTCAGAATCCAGTTGCAAAGGTAAAAAGCAGAAAATTCAACATTATACCAATTCATTTGCCTCTGCTGCCCTTTTTTGACATGATAGAACATTGCAAAAAATTGGTCAAAAGGATTTGGGCCAGGGGTGGGATGCTACCGGTTCTGCCCGGCTCCATAGAACCAGTAGCCCTGAAGAGCAGCAGACACTGAACCGGTTCTGTGTTTGCTGCTGTTTGGCCCACCCGCCCGTCCGGGCTCTTACCTGTCTTTTATTTCCTGCTTTTTCAACCTCAGCTGCTTTGTGCGGCACAGCTGAGGTTGAAAAAGCAGGAAAGAAGTGGCTTTCCAAAAGTTGCACACCTGTGCAAAGCTAAAGGTTTTTTTACATGTGTGCGCAGCGCGTGCATGCAAAAACAAAACATAGTCACCAAACTGGTAGTAACACCAGTTGAATCCCACCACTGATTTGAGCGGAGAAGGGAGGTGCAGCAAAAATATTGTTCCTAATTCCTTCTAAACTGCCATTTATGAGTTAGTTACTTAGCACTTGCATGTATCAGCAGTACATTTATATCATCTCCCTTTTAAGTATAGTGCTTTGAAATTCATTTTAGTCATGTCTTAATCTTCAAGTCCTCATGCATGAAGCAGTTTGGTAAACATAAGTGATACCAATAGTTCAATGTTTCTGATAGTTCGACAATCATTATGATATACTGGAATCATATTAAGCAGCCATGTCATGAATCCTGTCTTTATATAAGCTACAGCTATTTGTGCAATATCACTAATGTCCCCACATGTATTAGTAGCCAACCAAAATGCTTACATTTACAAAGGTTCTGTTCCAATGTAAAGGATGGATATCTGGATATCAAGCCATTACTTAATTAGAGCCTTTGATCAGCCACTTCTTGCCACAAGACTTCTCACAGCACTTGTTTTTGTAATGTACTTGAATTTGCTTCTTTTTTTGCCTTGCTTAGCCACAGTGGAACTTGCTAGGTTCTGAGGCTTTGTCTGGCTTTTTTTATGGTTCTTAGCCTTATTCCTTGGGACTGCTCATTGACCCTCATTTGTGCCTCATGGCTCATCCCAGTTTCTTCATTCCAAATTGGTCTTTCGCAATCTCAGTAAAGGGGCTGCTTGATTTTTCTGCTGGTTGCTTGCAAACTACTTAGCAGTCAGAGCAAGCTTGAGAGGTCTGTGAACAATCATCCACTGTTGCAATTGAGAATTTGGCGCCATCAGCCTGCAGGCAACAGTTGCAGCCATTGGCACAATCCAGGCTCCACTGAATGCTAGTAGTACCGTTTGTAAAAGTACTCGCAGATAACACTGTTGGACCCTGGTGCTGTCCAGGGTCACTTTGAGGAAACTGGAGAGCCAGCTTCTAATAATGGATTGAGATTGTAACAGAGCTACACAAGCCAGCATGAGCCACATGCTGTGAAAAGGCGAGACACTCTATTACATACCAAGCAAGATACTTTTGAGGAGAAAGCTGCCACACAAAAGCTGTTAGGAACTTTGTGTCTGGACTGACTCAGTGAAAATATTTACACATATGCTGAAATCCCCAATTATCTAAAGTGGGTGTGGGAACCATGCAGGAGGGGAAACCCACCTGTATTGTTAAGATCCCCTTGACTTTGGCATGAGTCAACAGAACTGTGTAAGTTTTTGAGAACAGCGTGATACTGTAGTGATTTTCCACTGCTGCCTTCCAGGGTGTTTTTTTGATAGCTCATGTTAGTTTATAAGCCTATATATATAAACTATCTCCCATCCTAGAACCAAGGCAGTCCAGCTTTGTTTGTCTTCTAAATCCAGACAAGAAGGATCAGGTGCCTCTGTGTCTTGAGTGATATATTACAAACATGTATTAAAATTATACTATAATTGAAATTGTCTCTATCCCTTATTAAAGTGCATTATGATTCTTTTTACAGGGGGAGCATTTTACACTCCTGAGACTATTGATACAGCTAGGCTGCATTATCGGAATTCATGGACCCCAATTTTACATGCAGTTGCACTGTGGCTAAACAGTACAGGGTTTAATGCCTGTGAAACACCAGAAGATGCCTCAGCAGCAACACCTCCACAAAAGCATGCCACACCCATTATGTTAAACCCAGCGTCAGAAACGCCATCTTCCACCAAAACTTTGCAAGAAATAAATAAAGATAGAATGCATTTGATTTTAGGTAATGCTTTTCAATTTATTACAGAAGTCTTACGATCACAATTGAGCCCAAAATTTATGTTGCTAGGTGAGAAGTGTGTTGAGTGAGTTTTACCCCATTTTATGACTTATCTTGCCACAGTTGGTAGGTGAATTACTGCAGTTGTTGAATTAGTAACTCAGTTGTGAAGTGAAGCTGGTTTTCCCCATTGACTTCACTTGTCAGAAGATCACAAAAGGTGATCACATGACTCAGGGACACTGCAAACTGTCGTACATGTGAGTCAGTTGTCAAGCATCCAAATGTAAATCACATGACCATGGGGATGCTGTAACGGTTATAAATGTGAACAATGATCCTAAATAACTTTTTTCAGCGTTGTTGCAACTTCAAACAGTCACTAAGTAAACTGTTGCGAGTTGAGGACTACCTGTAGTGTATCCGTTGTTTTATCACACATTACCAAATAACAGGATTGTTATTTTTAGGTTTATGGCAGTAGTAAACAGAACCATTCTAGCTTCAAAACTACCCAGAGCTTTCTTTATAGTGCGTGAAAACACTGTCTTGCTGAAACTAAAAACTCAACATTTAATATACAGCTTCTGCATGTACAAAACTATTAGGACCCGTACTTCATCTGTGCCTTAAAATCTTCAAAAAATACTATTTCACTCCTTATAAACTTAAAGTAATTTGCTCCCCAGGTGTTAGTATACAGTTTCTATGTTCTCCTCGACCAGAAGAACCTGTCGAACATGTCATGTCCTGCTTGCAAGCGGTGCACACTTTACTTGATTCCTCTTGCGCTAGAACCCATATTGCAGAAGATCAGGTATGTGGCAAACAAATGATTGTAGTCCATTAAGCATGCAGAAAATTGAACAGATTATTTCAAAATGAAATTAAAGGAAAATGTAATTTTCATTGACTGGAAATGCTTAGTGGATGTCTTCCCTTATTGTTCTTATTAATAGCTATTAAGAAAAAAAATGTAATCAAATAAGTCATTATTTTGGACCTCCAACAATTAAATGCTAACCAAGACATTAAAAAAAACCCAATGAAAAGTAATGGTTAAAGATAAACGAGTAAATCAAAGCATATAGCAAGGAGAAGCAGAGGTGGTTCACTTGATTCTTTTATCCAAAGCAGAGAATATATTTAATTTTGTTTCTATTTGGAAGTTGCATCCAGATTTGTGCTTGCAACGAGAAAAAAAATGAAATTTTAATTTTGTTTTGCTGATAAGATAGGCTTGTTGCTACCGAAATGGCTAGTATAGAATGTTGTATAAAAGTAAAACATTGAATATTGTTATCTTTTACTGTGCTAAAGAGAGTTGGAAGTCAATGCCTTTTTATTTCTTTTTCCCTCTTTATTCGATATTTTCTTTTTTCTTCCCCCCAGTTTTTTTATTACTTTTTTAAATTTCTCTTTGTATTTTATACTTTGATAAATGAATAAAAATGTATTTTTTTAAAATGGAAAAGAATATTACAAATATCATTTTTGAAGCTCTGCTTACAATTAATTTTTTAAGCTACTTGGTGTCGAACTTTTGAGTGTGCTCCATCGACTCTTGTTGACCTGCAATCCTCCTTCAGTTCAACTCCTAGTTACAGAAGTTGTGCAACAGATTATAAGAGCTGCTCAAGATCATTTACAAGAAAAAAGAAATACATTGAGTAAGAAATACCTGTTGTTTTTCATGTTACAGATGTCCAGATTAGAGAAATAATGAGACAGGCTATATAAAACTGTCTTCTTGACTCCTGTATTGGCTTAACTGACCAATGTCTGCAGTGGTCCTGGATGCTCATTTTTGAATTTACAAAATATTTAAAATACGTCCAGGTACATTTGCAGGATTAAAAAGAAATATATTTAATAAAATACTTTTTACTCTGAAAAGCTGCAATATGTCATGTATGACGTTTTAAATTTATTTGGACTTGTGTATGTCAGCTAATTAAAATATAGATTTAATAGCATCTATACATAAGTTCAAATTTAAAATAAATTAAGAGAAAAGAGTAGAAAGTAAAAAAGTTGAAAAACAAACCCAGATCACTGCCAAGTTATAAGCCTGATTTGGAATTCTAAGGGAAGTTGTTCATGAGAAGATTTGATGTCCTCTCATGATTTTTGTATCCCATATGTGTTTAACTTCATCGGTATGAGGTGAATTACTATATAAAATATAAGAAAAACAGTTGAAAATGTTGAAAACATTTTTATTGTTCTTTTTGTCAGAAAATAAATCTGTCACATTTAACTTTGTATGTGCAGGTTTGTGTATATTTTTTTTGTTATTTGCTTGTTTTTTAACTTGCAGGGGAAATAAGAATAAAAAGCTTTTCTTAATGGAATAATGTGATATGCATTGATGCAATTTATGATAGAAGCAAAGAAAAAAAAGGTGGGGTCTTGCAGTGTTTATCTCTTACTGATTTAAAAGGGAATGTATTCATACCATCTCATTTTTTAATTTCCATAGTAGCATAAACTTCTGTGATATCTCATCCTGATTTTAGTAGTTTCTATAAAAAAAATAGAAAACAAATGCGATCTGTAAGCTTTTGACTACTAATGAGTTTCAGCTGATTGCTTCATTTAAACTTAAGATTTTAACATGTACATTTGGTAGCATTTTCTAAAATGTCTGCCATGAATTTCATATTACTATATTATTACTCCATATTTTTTTTTGTCTTTCTTAGATGAAGAAGATGCGAAAGAAAAAGACAGTAACTGTGGGCTGGGTGAAGGAGGAGACAGTGGTGGTCTTGTGCCAGGAAAATCTCTTGTATTTGCTGCTATGGAACTGCTAATGTTTATCCTTGTGCGACACATGCCACATTTGAGCACAAAAATGTCAGATTCTCCAAGTCATTCTTTCAGCAAAATCCAGCTCCCAGAAGAAAGTGCTCGTCTCGTGGCTGCCACCGTTGCCATCCTGTCTGATCTACCCACTCTTTGTTCCCCAGCTGGTAGTATAATAGATCTTTCTTAAAATTTAATCAGTGGGTTCCTCAAAATGTTAATTTAAAAAAACCCCACATTTAAACAAAACAAAGTGCATGTAGAGTATTTAAGGGGGCAGCGGGAGTTCAGGAAGTGGTGCTGCATATGACACTTAATAATGGACAGAACGTTGCTTGGTGATAGAGTGGACAAAAACAAGCATAAAAATTTAAAACCGATTTTAAGATGTGTTTTAGTTTAGTTTAGTTTATTGTCACTGCACCTTATACATCGAAATTAAATATCATCTTCAGTGTACATTATGACTATGAAAATAAACACAAATACACATCCTGCATATTCTATATATTGAATTGAAAACCCTTGATATTTATTCTTATTCTATGGGCCTTTGAGACATTTGAGTAGGCTTAAGTTTGTCTTTTCTTTTTTAAGAGTCCCTAAATACCTTCATTTCAGTTCTGGCATTTCCTTTTCTTTAGGACAATATTTGTTACACCTTAAAAAGGGGGCATTAACATTCACTTCCTCCTACTACTTCTCCATGACATATCTTTTATGTACATTTTTTGCCATGTGTCCACTTTCCTGTATTTCTTCATTGGTTAATATTTAATAGGACTAATCAATTATCTGAATTGGTCTGTGTAAGTGCGTGCATAATCATTTAGTTAGCACCTCCCTAAATCAAACACATCTTTCCAGCATTCTTGCATAATCTCAGACAAAAGATGTAGTTTCTTTAAAGAGTTGCTAACAAATGTATCAATGCACCTTTGAAATCATACTGGATAGGGTGGCACTGCCTCAAACAGACTCTGTGTACAATATGGAGGTTCTCCTGGAGCCACATCTCTTGCTTGAAAAGAGCAGATGGCAGCTATGCCAGATCCTTTATACAATTCCATATTGTATGCCAGTTGTGCCTATTCCTGGACCTTTACAGTCACTCATGCCCTGGTCACTTGAAAGAATTGAATGGATTACTGTAATGCGCTTTACATGGGGATGCCCTTGGAGAGCATTTGGAATCTGTAGCTGGTAACTTCATCAACTTCATCAACATGAAGTTATATGTGTTTCTCAATCAGTGCATGTTATACCTCTGCTCTCCAGCTACAGTTCAGTTCAAGATGATGATTGTGACCTATAAAGCCCTATATGGCAGCGGTCTCCAGCTTTTCTGGTTTTGTGGACTGAGGGGGGAGAGAGGATGATAATTCCATGTGAGTGGTCGGCAAGCGCACACAACTCCATTTGTTCAAGTGGCTGGTATATGTGCCTATCACGCACCAAATGGAGCTGCACGCACATGCTTGTGCACTTGCTTACTGTGTGCACAAATGGAGCTGCATGCACATATTTGAACAGGCCACGGCCCAGGGTTGGTGACCTCGGCTCTGTGGCATTGAACCTGGTAATTTGAGAGGCTGCCTCTCCCCAGTAACATCTACCCGCTATCAGGAGAGGCATGTTACAGGTCCCCTTCATGAAAAAAGTTTCATTTGACAGGATCCAGAAAGAAAGCTTTTTATGCCATGATAAAAAGGACCTGTGGACCATCATTGCCCCAGACAATAGGCCCTAATTCCCCCTCTCTCCCTCCAACCCACCTTTAGGAATACCCTGAAGACATGGCTCTACTGCCATGTCTGGAAACATGGCAATAATGGCGAGTGTTTGCAATGGCTGTGTTGAGCTGATGACAATAAATTCTGCCCCTGATCATGATTTTGATTGATTATGGTTTTTATATATTTGTATATTGGTTTTGTTAACTTGTTTTACTGGATTGTTCGAGTGTTGTTTACCTGTTGTGATCTGCCCAGAGTCACTTAGAAGAGATGGGTAATCAGACAAATTGAATGAATGAATGAAAATTTTCACCAAAAGAGCCCAGTACCTTAGTTACTCATGAATACTTTGCTTCTGGCATTGATCATACCTCTTATGCATTCTGAAAGTATCTGGTTTATGTTTATGTTTTAGGATCTATGACTATATTGCCCACTATCCTCTTTCTAATAATACAAGTGTTGAAAGATACTGCTGTAAAAACTGTGGGAAATCAGGTCCTACCACCAGTCAGTGCAGCACTTCAGGGACTGAAAAATATAGTAACCCTTCCAATGACCATGAATGAGAATATTCATAAACAGTGGACAAATCTTATCCGCAGCACCCTAGCCTCAATCTTGGAATACTCTCAGCCAGGTAATTTTCATGCTATCACTGGAGCTCTTTTGTAAAAAGAAGCAAAGCTAGTGGTTTGCATTAGGAAATGAATCTGGTACAATTATGTCACTATACCGCATGTTTTAGATTTATAGAACAAAGTATGGAAATCAAGGCAAATAGTATTGTATTCACAGTTTTTGATGGAACAGAGTTCAGAATCTTCCTTAATGCCTAGAGTATTTAATTTTTCCATATATGCTGAAGGAATTCACATGTATATGAAATTCTGCATTTCATTAAGCGAGAGTGATTAATCAAATTCAGCAAGTGTTGTAGAATGTCACTTTTAAACATTCATATTGTTCAATTCACTCAAAGCTGTTTTTTCACAAAGTTAACAAAATATGTTCTTACTGTCTTAGGACCACTTTCATTTTCATTATACCATTATTATTTAATCATAAAATATATATTTGGATAGATTTTAAGGATAGAATCCTTAAAAGATTGTTATTTTTGAAATTAGGAACATTGCATATTTATCAGCATCTTCATTTTTGAAAATAGCAGTTATATTTCCCTGTTCCAAACTCTATTTGGTATAAGTTTTCAGCATCTTTTTGGCTTTTTCCCCCCCAGAAGCCTCCAAGCCTACTTTAGATGAAGTAAGTATGCTTACTGCGATTACACTCTTCCTTTGGTCTGCAAGCACTGAAATAATTGGAGTTCAAGCATTGCAAAATGGCTGCATTAACAGATTTAAAACAGCATTGAATTCATCTGATCCTTGGGTGAGTAAGTCATTTAGCTTTTATCCATTAATATATTATTTTACATATATGTTATTGTCAGTACCATATCATGATCAGATTGTTCTCTGGCCTTGAGTTCTTTGCAGCAGCTTCCCATAGGACCTACAGGATTTGATCAGTTTTCACAAACAAATACAGGTTCCTTCTGGAACTAACAGGTTCTAATAGATGCTAATATTGGACCCTTTTAGTTCCAGAAGGCACCCGTATTTGTTTTTGAAGCTCTGATGCATGGTCTAGCTGCTGCCTAGAATAATTTTATTTTAGAATAAAATAAAATAATAAAACAAATTAAAAAAAAAAGATTTCTGGTGTAATGCTTCGTTAACTTGACATACTTACCCTAAAAATTAAAACTGAATTTTATTTTTTATAATTTAATAAAATTAGATACTGGAGGATTAGAATTTTTTTTTTAAATGACAACCCCATTTATCTGAGAAAAACTTCTGTCTCCATTGCGACAGTTTTTTTTTAAGTTTTTTATTTTAACAACAAACAAAACAACATAAAACGTACAACATAAAACATAAAAACATCCTTCTTCATAAATTTACAAACAGTGTATCAGTTGGTTTACCACTTTTTTTTGTGCATCCATTTCCTAAACGCTAACATTGCGACATTAATGTTAATGTTGTTGAAAAAGGATCATATTGGATAGAATGCTTTAGATGAGAATGTGTATTTATATTATTTATAGACTGTATTTATAGGTTGAATACTATACAACCTCTCCAAAAATCCTTTTTACTATGACTAGTTAGGCTTTTAAAAAAGCATTTCATTGAATCCAATGAGATTAGACTTGTATGTATCATGAATGAAGTATGCAATTGTTGACCCACAGAAAGATAAGCTAAAGAAAAGCTTTCATAATGGAAAGGTTTGCAAGTTAGATAATAAATGTGGATCCATTGTTACAATTTTATTTGCCTTTTTTCTTTTAACATTATCTGAGTGTGATATTTTATGGCAAATTCTTACTAACACATCTATATTTATATATTGCGGTTAGGTTCAAGCCAAATGTTACCATCTTCTACTTTCTATATTTCAACATACAAACCGTGCTCTCTCTACCCCATATATACATTCCCTGGCACCAATAATGGTTGAGAAACTGAAAGGTGTGGAGAAGAACCGTCCAAACAACAAAACAGAACTCTTAGCAATCCAAGAGGGAATTAAAGTTCTTGAAACACTGGTTGCTCTCGGTGAAGAGCAGAATAGTAAGTACCTTGATTGTGAATTACCATACTTGTCTTGTTAGCATGCAGTAAAAGCTTGAAGCTTTCTTGGAAACAATGGATTAAATATATTTCACATTGTATCACACATTTGGTTAAGTGCAGCACTTAACCTCTCTTTCCTAAATTCGAGGCAGTGATATTCCAAGGGTATTGTGCAATATTCTGACTGGAGCCATCTAGAGCAATTAAAATTCTGGGAAACAAAGTTAACTGGAGCTAGATCATTCTAACGCTTAGCATCTGCTCTGTGAGCTATTTGAGGAAAAACAATGTCCTTTGGATTTTAAGGATACCTATTAATCAAATCAGAAAAAAACCCCCAAAAGATTCTAGTTTGCAGTATATTGCCCTAAAACCTAGAATTTCTAATAAATAATTTCTATGTAAGAGTTATCATGTTTACAAATTATCATCCTGCTATAGAAATGTAGTTAGATGGGTGGATATACCCTTTTCATTTAAATAGGTGTATTTGTCTTCAAATGCATGAGACAACTAGGCATATATATACATATATACTGAAGAGAGCCTCTCCACATTCTTGAGAAAACATCTCTCTGTGGCAACGGATCTGAGATATGAGGTTATGATATTCTAATTCTCTTATCCATGTGACAGATTCAAATAGCATATCTATAAAAGTCACCTCCTCTTCAGTATATTGCTAAATGTAGTTTTATTCTATAAATATCTCCATGGTAACCAAGCATTTTAGAGAAATATTTTCTAGACTAGAACTGAGCACATTACTGAATGATGTGAAGGCCCTAAAAATAGTTGTTCTGTTCTCTACCACTGGGCATTTTTAAATATTATCAAGAAGAAATGTATTGTCATTATTTGGGGGATTGTTTATTTTCTAACAGTAATATATCAACATGCTGAAGATATCCTACATTGTCACTCTTGAATTTTAATTAGTTTAACTGATTTCTTTTTTCCCCCCTCAGGAGTACAATTGCTTGCTCTTCTTGTCCCTACACTCATATCTTATTTACTGAATGAAAATGCCTTCTCTTCTGCATCCCTGGTATCAAAAGAACTTCATGAATTTGCTCTCCAGGATCTCACCCGCATTGGACCCCTTTATCCTCTTGCATTTAAGACAGTAATGGGAGCAGCTCCTGAACTGAAAGCACGACTGGAAACTGCAGTACGAGCAAGTCAGGCAAGCAAAGCAAAGGCAGCTGCCAGGCAACCACCACCCACAGTACATTCCACGCCAACAATTAAACTTAAAACTAGCTTTTTCTGATTCTTGTTGGAACAATCATAAAACATGAAGAAATACATCATTCCTTCTGTGCTGCTGTATATCTCATACTCTATTTCTCATTGTTTGTCAACAGGCTCTGCATTAGCAATGTATGTTTCTAGGGGATTGTTGCATTACGGTTTGAAATCTGCGCATTGCAAAAAGATGTGATATCTGGATGTATATAGATTTTTATGAAATGGAGTAAGCTGACCATCTGAGGTTGTGTTAAACTGTCTCATTTAACAATGTATTTTATGTAGTCTTTGTCTTTCTTTTTAGAATCTTGAGTTCTCGTTAATTCTGAAAGTTGGGTATATATTTTCCATAGGCACTATCTGTGGAATCTTGTGAACTACACTGCTTCCCTATACAGCATTTTAAAAAGGAGCAACAGCAGTATATCGGTTGTCTCAGTGAAAGCAATTTGAGGTGGAATTTAAAAATAGTAAAATATAGTCTTGCATATGGTTCTCCAGTAGCTTCTACTACCTCTTATCCAGCTATAAATGAAGCACCTAAATTTATTCCCTTTGTGCATCTAGTTATTAAAGATTCCCAAAGTACAGGATCATTTACTAAAACATTGCTTACATTTGGAGAAGAGACGACAATCCAGTTCTTCTAGTGTACAAACATTTTCTCTCAGACTTAGAAATAATTTGTAGGGCAGCGCCATTAAATTATGGCTAAATCCTTCTCATTTGCCCCACCCCCACCCCCTTTGGTTAAAATTTCTGTTATAACAGAATACCATTCAATTTCTCTTTGAATTATATCTTCTTCATAAAGTATGGAGTGGGTACTATTTTGTAATAAACCAACAGAGACTTTTGAATGGGTTTTTGCCACGTATAGGCATAAACAAAATAGTCTGCATTGAATGATAAAGAAGATATCTACTCTACTTATTTTGTAGATGCACTTGAACTGTGAAGCATATTTCTATGTCTAAAAACAATTCAGCAAATAGAAATGCCTTCATTGGAGAGCATGATCTGATGGTTTATTTTACTCTGATATTAGAGCATGGTCTTTAAGTTGAAGACTGTACATATTCAGACTTTATCAACACAATGCTCATAGTCTGAGCATTCTCCAATTTAATTTTCTCCTTAAAAGACTTTTCATGCAGGGGTTAAGAACAGTCTGGTTTGTGAGACTCTGCTATGTGAGGTCAGGCCTCTAAATTACAAGTTTTTCTGAAGGGCAGGATTGTTCTCTTCTCACAGATTGCTATCTGTTTGCAAAAATGGTTGTTTGTGTTCTCAGAATGATTTTCATGAGGAAACCTGGCTGGCCAGAATTTTATTTTATTTTATTTTTATAGCAAAAGTCAACTCAAAGCTGAACTCCCTAAAAACATTTTATGACTTACAATGGAAAGACTAACAAGGTGAGGTACAAACAGGACATTGGTTAGACTTGCTAGAATGTATATGAAGCCTAGACCAACATATCTAAAGATCATGGACGAGGGGAAGGCTGTAGGTCTAGAATTATATTTAACAGTAGCTGTTCTCCCCCTAAAATATAGTTACAGTACAGTTCACAGGTTGCTGAATTGGGATGGTATAAAAGCACCAACAAATGAATATATATCACACGTCTACTCCTAGAATAAGAGAGTAGTTCAGAACAGATATTAGAGTAGATCTATGTCTCCTGATCTAATATTTTTGATCATATTCTTTTATTATCATTAAGCTACTTAAAGCCATTTTCATGACACATATGAAAATCCCACTCTAATTCTACCTGTTGTAAGATTCAAATTGCAACAAAAACATATATATTGCAAAACAACAAAATTGTTTTTTTTCTGTAAGAAACAGCGGCTGCTTAATGAAAAAAAATGTTATTTTTCCTGTTATACCTTAAATTTTTATTTAATATTTCTTAATTGTTTAATATTTAATTGCTTAATATTTCTTACTCTAAAAGGGAGCAGTAGAATAGGCATATATTTATGGTCACTATTATTTTTTCAACTGCTAGAAATTAATATTGATAACTAATTACATTTTAAAGAAGTTGTAATAAATTAAACACTGTAATTATTCAAGTTTTATTTATTACAATAAACTATCTAATGCAACTGTATGCAAAATTTAGAAGCTCTTCATCAAACTATAAGTTTCAGAAGATAAATTTGAATGCATGCTCAACATTCAAGTGCTGCTGTTTATATTTTCAAACTAAGACGACAATGAATATAGTAGGTACAAAAAGGTTGACTGCCCTTTCTGTCACTATTTTGTAATGTCTCTTTTGGGAGAAATAATAGTTACCATTTTGTGTGTGTGTAGTCAACCACGTCTTTCTAGTCTTGTGTTGCTATTTTTTCCCCTACTTTTCTTCTTTCTTAGGTCCTACACATTTGAGATGTCCCCAGATTTTCTGTTATATTCAAAATCTAAGGGTTGTGAAAGCCATTCCAAAACCCTAGTTTTTCCTTTCCTGCAAGCATTGCATAGTTAATTCCTGCAATTGTAGAACCTTAAAGTATGTCTTTATTGATACAAAAAGTTAGCTGAGGTTACCCTGATTGATCTTCAGTATGCAAAATATGTATCAGCATACTCTTCCATTAGTTTTAGAATCCAAATTCACGACAGTGGCAAGTTTGTTGCAACAGTATATGAAGCTGGAATGACCCAATTGAAAAACAAAAGAGATGAATGTGCAGGGTTTTATTTATTTTTGCCATCTTTTCTTTACCGAACTCTAATATGAAGTGTTCCTGGAAGAAGAAAAAAACCAGAAAGAGAGGCTAAGGCATGAAGAACAATGAGAAGAACTCATAAATACTTCAGTTCTTTATAATCTGTTTATTATTTTGTAATAAACATGATCAATTTTATTTTTATATTTTTGCTGAATTTGGGAGTCAAAATCCCTGAAGGGAATTAATTGGGGGAAGCATCGTAGAAAAAAACGCGTGGTAGGCAACACAAAATACTGTTTAGGTGTATCATTTTTCAAATGTAATGTAAAGCAAAAATAGTTAAAACCAGGAGTCCTTTTTTAACTGGAGACATATTTTCTTCATTTACCTTTTCTCACTAATCAGAATTGCAGTATTTGCTAAAGATAAGCAAACTAATTGTTGTGATTAGCTTCTTTGCTGTCTGCCAACCTCTATGTCTCATTTGGTTTTTTTAGATTCTTCTAACTAGAATAAATAGGATTTTTATGCTGCAAAGCCTTTTCGGATGCTATGACATTATTTTCAAGAATGCAGTGAGGCCACACAATCATTTTTAGAAAACTGGGTATACATAGCCCAACAAATATGCCCACCTGTTAAGAGGGCAGGACAGGGAGTAGCTACATTGGCTTCTAACTAGCTATGCCCATAATTGCGCTCTTTTAAAAAAAAGAATTTTATGTCAAGCCCTGTGAGGGCAAAATTAGGAAACAAGGATTACTTGGACTTATGGCAAGATCTTTATGGTTAGTAGGGAAATGTAACCGAGTTTTAAAGCCTATCAAAGTAATACTCATGCACAACTTACATTTGGTGTAATTAGATAGAATTCTTTTAAGTTTCTTTTTGATGCTCTCCCCATCACCAGGACTCGGGAATCTCTTCTGTACCGGCCCTGCTTTCTTCCTTAATTGTTTTGTTGCCTCTCTACGTTCTTGAAGTCTGGTAGGTTTTATCACACTATCTCCTCCTCCTTTAGACTCATTCTTCCCATCATCAAGGAATGGCCTGGCAGCAATGACAATGCTGCCAAAGATGGACTAGGCCTGTTCTCAGAGTCATCTGACAAGTATGAAATTACAGAGTGAAGAGAGAAAGGCCTTGAGGGACAAGAGGAAAAGCTATTACCAAGTCAATTGTGACATAAAAGAGGCTTTAGCAAGTTACCCTACGAAACATCCCAGATAAGCTTCTTCCTAGTTCTCACAAAGGTAAAGGGACGGAGAGAGGAAGAGTGTTCAGACTTGCAAAAGTTCTTTATAGCTTTACAATAAAAGTAATACAGTATTGCTCTATCTGGCGTTGAATTCCTAATCTTGAAGCCTGGAAGAACCCCCAAAGGCTGGAATGTATTCCACTTTCTCTATTCAACCTAAGTGGGATTTAGCCAGTTTGCACCAGTTTGGGAGAACCGGTTGTTAACTTTCTGAGCAGTTTGGTGAACTGGCTGTTGGAAGAAATCCTTAGGGCAGAGAACCGGTTGTTAAATTATTTGAATCCCACCACTGCTTACAAGGCATGCATGAAAGAGAACACAGAGCCCTCTTTGGTGATCAAAGTCTGGTGGGACACTATAAGTAGTTCAGGAGGATATGGCTCATGTGGAAATTTCAGATGGCAGAAGCTGCAGAAAACAAGACAGTGAGGCCCCTCCCTCATAAAGATTGTTGTAAAACATTGGGTGTACTTTCATAGCAGTGGGCAATTGCAAATAAAAGACTACAGGGCTGGTTTAAATTGTCTCAGGGAAAGAGCCAGTAAATATTGAGACCAGTTTCTTGGATAGAAAGAAGGTAGAAAAGAAAAGACAAAGCTACACTAAATGCCCCACCACAATTCCGGCACTGTTCTGCCTTTGAGTATCAACTACCCATTAGCCAACTAGGATCAGCTGTGCCACTTGTTTCCCTTGCAGCAAATGAGAGGCTTGAGAAACTAGAGAGGCTGGAATTGTATGGTGCAAATATCCCCAGTTGATACCTTAATTTGCTTGGAGAGAGACAAGCCAATAAAAACATAAATTGTATTCAAATTCTTCATATAGCAACAGGTCAGGCAATCAATAGCAATGTAAATAACTGTTCTGTTACTCCCTTTTTTCCTCTTTCCTTTCTGCCCCTTCAATTCTGGGCAATCTGCCAATGAAAGATAAGTATAAATGTTCAGTAATTACACGGCTTTTTATAACCCAGATTTAAATTGAAACTCATAATCTGAGATCAATGATTAACTGATGACCAGAAACAGCAATCTAGAAATAGCTGTATAGCCAGTAAGTCCAGTGTTTGTCTCATGATTTCTAAGGATATCTGTTCCTGTTGCTTGAAGTGTGTTTTGGCAACATTATTCCAGCTCTTTGATCATCTTAATTTCCGCTCTCTGAACCCTCTAGTTTCACTATACCTTTCGGAGAGGCATGACGTTCTTGATTTATATAAAGGTGTTGAAAGAATTATCCTTCTAGGTTCAGTTCCAAGTGGGGAAAAAGACACTGGAAAGATGGTTTCATGGTGGACAGGACCACATGGCTTGGAGCTCCAAAGAAGGATGATCACATGCTTCAAGGTGAAGGAAAAGAGAAGGAAGGGCTAAGATGCTGAGTGTGCCTAGTTTCCCTCTGTTCAGATTTGAATATGAGTTTGTATACTGATTGGTTGTCAGATTCCGATGGGACCATGGAGGGGCAACTCTATAGGCTGTCCTAAGTTCCAGGCTTGGTTGAGCCTCGCTGAATGATGATGTAATGAAAAGGGCTTTGGGCAATTGCTTTACCTGGAGATCTTTGTTATGTAAAATATTCTGGCCCAGGCCTTAATGGCCCACCCATTAACAAGGATGGGGGTGAGCTCCGGCTTCTGAGGTGAGTTTCTGCTTCTGAGTTTCTACTCTTTTTAGGGGAAATATTCTGCCTTTTTAATATTTCCTAGGATATTTCAATTTTCTAGGTGATGCTAATTTCCCACAAAGGGATTGTAATATTGGCTTCTTTGTTGTCAAGTCCATTTTTTATTCATTCTAATATAGTTTTGGCCTTTTAAAAATATTGGAGGAACATTGAACTGTTTACCATTATTCCAAGATTTTTCCCCCCTCATTGGTTACTGCCATCTGCGATCCCATTAATTTGCTGGGATCCTTGACACCAATATACATCACTTTAACCAATCGACTCAGCCACAAATTCACTCAAAGGTCCTAAATTCTATTCACTTTCACAGCACAGTTTCTTCACCTAACTTTTAAAAAGTCTGCAAATCAAACTCGACATTTTCGTAGCCCGCGAGCACCAAATTATTATTGTTCTGTTGTTAGAAATTCGCAGCTACTCCATTCTTTCCGATAGGGAACTGCATTTCCCAAGATGCCTCGGGTCCTCAAAGCGCCGAACGCGCTTTTGGAATTGACTCCAGCGAGGCCCGGTAGCCGCTGGCGGGGGTGGCTGTCAGGCGCTGACGGCGGAGGGGACGCGCCCAGTTTGTTACTGCTTCCAGTGAGCGAGGCGGACGGGGGAGCGGCGCTGGCGGACCGCGGACGTCGGCAGCGACTATAACGACCGCTCGGGCCAAGTGCGGAGGAAGAGCGGAAGATCCCTCCCGCCCGCGACGACGGCTCCAGCCATGGACGAGCAGGCTGGCCCCGGCGTCTTCTTCAACAACAACAACAACAACGCGCTGCTTTTGCCGCCACCTCCGGGCGGGGTCGGGCCGGGGTTGGAGTCGGGAGAAGCGGCGGCTGCGGCGGCTGCAGCGGCGGCCGCCGCTGGCAGCGCTTCGGCAGGGCCGGCTCCGGCCTCTGCAGCGCGCGCTCAATACAGCGTCCCCGGCATCCTGCATTTCCTGCAGCACGAGTGGGGCCGCTTCGAGGCCGAGAGAGCCGAGTGGGAGGCGGAGCGAGCGGAACTGCAGGTAGCCTTCCTCCTTCCCGTTGCCTTCTTTTCTTTTTTCTTTTGCTTTTCTGCTCCCGGCAGGGTTGCTCGCTCAGGGGCCGCCGCCTCCTCCTCCCAACCTGCCGTGCTCTCCTCCTCCTTTCCCCCCCACGCACCTGTCAAGAAGGCTTCGTTCTCCGCCCCCGCCGTGCCTTCCCAACTGCTGGACGCGGGGCGACGGGGAAGGCGGCGATGGACTCGGTGGCATTTCGGAGGGGTTTTTTTTGGGGGGGGGGTTGGGGTTGAGGAAGCCCCGGGTGCTCGTTGGAAGCCTTCCCTTCCCTTCGCCAACCTTTCCTCGCTCTCGGAACTTGGGAGGGTAGTTGCTGGACGCCTCTTCCCTGTCCTCTCCCGCGTCCCCCGCTACCCGCCCGGTCCTGCGGTGGATGAACCTTAGGTGCGAAAGTTGAGGTTGGGCACGCAGAAGTTGCCTTCGAGGTTTAGTTCGACTTAAATCCATAAG